TGAAGGTACAATGCTTTTGGCACGTGTCAATTTAAACCTCTCATAGTTTTCTGAGACTTTTGCCCTTCTGCATGCAGGTCTGCAATGAACACAGGAGCCAGTGGCTCTCTCGACACTAAGGAAGAACAGGAGTCAGTGACAGAAGCACCGGTTTCTGGCTTGACAGAGATGGAGAATGCAGCAGTGGAGGTTCGGCGGGGTGTGAGACGGACATGACCTTTGGTGGTCTCTGGCTACTGCTCTAATCCATCATTCCAGGAAGGTAGGCGTTATCTTGTTGTGTTCTTCATTTTCTATCAAACAAATTCCCTAAGTCTCCAAAGAGGTCTTAACAATGAGCAAGAGGCCAAAATTACATGTCACCTGGTCACTGGATGGGCATGCACAAGAGATTCTTTTGTTTGCTGGGAAGCTGGTTTTCAAATTAGGGACAGGTTAGCATAGCAACTTAGCTTTTTAACTCTGAACCAAACGTGTATCCTTTATTTTGCTTAAATAGGAGCCTTGACTCAGGGTGAAGTGTGGATTAGGCCACAAGTTAGTTGCTGGGAAGAACAAGCCTATGGCTGAATGGGTGTGATGCTTACAGGACAGTGACCCGGAGGTGAAATGGACCGGGATGCCGCATGGCCCCAAGTGTGCTCCTTTGTATGAGAGGAAGAAAAAATCCACAACTTGGCTAAACATTCTATAGTATTCGGGTAGCCTGAAGCCAATCACAAATGCTGCCAAACTGCTCAGTGTTACTGTGGTGGGAGTGGCTGTACTGGGGGGCGGGTGAAGAGTTGGTGGTGGCTGGCAATGGAAAGCTAATGCTGGTGGACTCAATTTGTATTCCAGCCAGTCTCCCTATGTTGCCCAAGCTGGTCTCAAACTCTGGGCTCGAGCAATCCTCTTGGCTCAGCCTCCCAAGTACAGACTATAGACACATGCCACAAGGCTGGCTAGGTATTTTAACACAGACTGTAATTCTGGTTCTATGTTTGACTAAATCTGTGACTGTCCAAGTCCCTTAATCACTCTGAGCTTCAGGTTTTCCATTTCTAAAAGAGTGATATTGGCAGGAGTGGAATGGCTCACCGGTGGAGTATGCAAATAGCATGGGCAGTCCCAGGTCCAATCCACAGGATGGCAAAAACAAAAAAACCCCCAGCAGCAGAAGCATCAGAAAAAGGAGGAGGAGGAGGAGAAAATGGAGAAAGAGAAGGAGGATGAGGATGAGAAGAAGGAGATAGATGAGGAGAGGAGAAGGGGAAAGGGAAGAAGAGGAGGAGGAAGAAGAGGAAGAGGGAAGAGGAGGTAGAAGAAAAAGAAGAAGAAAAGGAGGAGAAGGAGGAGGAGGAGAAGGAAGAGGAGGAGGAAGAGGAGGATAAAGAGGAAGAATTCCTAAGAATTCTGGCTCAGCTAAGACAACATATGTGAAACACACTTGGTAGACTCCAAAGTGCTCTACAAATGCTAATTATAATTAAGCGTGATTTTATTACAACTGGAACCAAATGCTTTCTGGAGTGCATTTGTAACTGTTTACAAAACAGCCAAGAGAGGGAATTCCCTTAATAAAAAAGTACATCAAGCCAAGCTTTACAGGAAACCAGTTCTCCATCCAGGAGGGGCTCTGTCTACAGTCTGCTCCCAGGGCAGGTGCTCTGAGTCATGGAATGGGTGTTGTGGGTAACTGCCTCCCCTTCCGGCTCCTGTCCACACAGCACACACCCCATCAGCAATCTTCCCACCTCCCAGCGGCACTGGAGAAGGTGGTCAAGGAGGCCAGATGAGCTAGGACTCTGGAGTCACACTGCCCAGGGTTTCAAGTCTGGTTCTATGTGATCATTTGTTGTATGCTCCTTAGACTCTTGGAGCCTCTGATTCTACATAATAACAGCCATTACTTTTAATGGCATTCTTATCGCGTACCAGGTATTCTATTAAGTATTTATCTCAGCTACCCCTTACACATCAACCCACGAGATATCTAATGCATAGATGGGGAAGCAGGGTCACAGACTTTAAAGGACAGAAGTCAGAATTTAAGTCCTGTCTGGTTCCGTGCAGCTAGGCATACTCTAGATCTTTGCTACCGCAGATATTTCACTTCTACTGTGATACAATGGCCTTCTCAGGCCAACAGTATCTCCTACTTTCCAAAAGCTACATTATAGTTAAGTGAATATGCACTTGAGTTAGCTGCCTGGGTGCCAATCTCTCTGCCTTTTATTATGAGGCCTTAGAGATGTTACTTCATCTTTCTGAAACCCTATTTCTTTTTCTCGACAAGGGGAATAAGGAAAGCAGGTATGTAGGACTGTTGTAAGGATAACATATGATGATGATAATGGCCCTTGGCACATAGCAACTGCTCATTGAAAGGTTCTCTCCGATAAGCCGTCCATTTGACCCAGTCTTCTTAACATTCCTCTGCTCTAGCAGCTGTGGGAGATTCTGTACCCTCTGAAACAGAGGAGTCCATGTGATGCTCGGCTTAGCTTTAGGCTCCTTGAGGAGCAGACAAGGATGACTGGAGAGAGCTAGTCCCTGGGGATTCCATCAGTCCTATCACATAGCAGATCTTCTCTTATCTGCTCAGTATTCTGGTATTTTGCAGAAAACATTACTTAAACAGAGGAGTTTCCTATTTAATTTCTAGGAAATGTATAGACTAACTGAAACTGGCATACAGCTCAGTGGCATAAACCCCTACCCAGCAAGTGCAAGGTCCTAAATTTGATTCCTGGTACCAATAAATAAATGAATGAGTGAATTTCAACCTCCTAATGTGTACAGTCTCCATCTCCTTCTTGCTCTTTCACCTGACTACAATCTCCAAAAGTAATACTTTGGACGGGCAGCAGTGAGACAGTATTTCTGGGACAATTTCTTCCCTCTCATCCTGCATCTGCTGGCAGTTCACAGTCTCAGGTGATCTTGTTAAAAGTACCAAGCAGGTAGCTGTGGCCTGGGCCCCAGTTTGACAAGCTCCCAGGAGATTTCCATAGACATGGTCAGAGGTAAGCCTTAGGGAAAACACTATTCCAAACACATGGGGAAGTGTGGGTATGTCTCTCTCAAACCCTTCTAAAATTTCTTTAAAATGCTGGAAAATACTTCGAAGAAAATCTTATGGTGAGGGGGCTCCTATGTGTAAAAGAACCCGCCAAAGCAGAGTCCTTTGGTGAAGGTGGCTCTGTGTGGAACACGAAGACCAACCTTTGTGTTTTTCCCCAAGGAGAGTCCACAGCGCCTCCTGGTGGACCACAGGATCAACTGGAACAATTCTAGCTGGGTTGATGGCCTTCCTTCTCTAGGAGCTGACTCCCAGGGTTCCTCGCTGTCCCAGCCACCCCAGGGAGGCCTTTTTCCTTATGTGACCTGACACTTTATGAGGTCTTCATAGGAATCCTCCCGTCCACATTTAATCCCACCCACCCTTCTTATTCCTGTATCTCACCCCAGAGGAGCTCCTGGAACCGCCTCACCTCTGGCTGCCACGGGACTTATGCTCTATATAATGAGACCACTCCTTATCCTGGTCTTCAGCTGTTTCAGGGATTCTAGATATATCCTCCCACATAACCAAAATTACACTGGAAGTTCCTGTGGTCAGAAGCCCCTCCTCCTTTCATTATGTTTCTGACCCAGCGTTGGGGGTGAGTGGTTAGGACATCAGACACATGGGAAGGAGGATGAATGAATGGATGACTCCACACGCCTTTCCTTCTTCACACCTTCCCCAAACCAAAACAAGGATAAGGCCAATCTCTGTTGTGATTGGATTTCAGTTCTTGTTGCTTCCTTGAAGAGTGTACCAAATTTCATTTGCATGAGATCAAACTTACCTTTTGTATTATATTATCCGTCAAGGCAGTTAACTGAAAGGTTAAAATTCCCTACTGCTTTTGAGGGAGGAGGGATCAGACCTTTGTCTTTTTTACCCATGGGGTCCTGCTTTCTACTGTTCAGCTCAGATTGTTCTAATACATCTTTAACATACTATGCATTATACCATTATAAAATAAATCTGTCACTCAAAGCTTCCTGTTTTGCATTCCTTCTAGTCTGATGTTCATTACTCATGATTTCTTGAATCACTCTGCAGCAACACACACTTGACAAACGCTCTACTTTGGCTTCTGCCTTTTCTCCTTTATATGGCTTGCTAATACATAGTGCATTGCTGATTAGGGCAAGTCCCTTCTGTGACTCTTTGTCCTTAATTTATGAACCAGACTGTGTACTGCTAATCACAATCTAGTTTCTTTTATTGGCCTATTTCATGCTTCTTTGTGCTCTTTTTTCTACTCTTTTATTGCCCGGACTACTTTGCTTCCTTCTGCCTTTAAATACATTTGAAAGATGAACACAATTTTCATGCAGTGAACCTTCCGCTCCTCTTTGGTTTTGTAAAAGGTCTCAGGTGATTTTGCCAACAGTCTCTCAACTTTGTGTGTTCCAGGTCCCTCCTAAGGTTCTGTTGAGGGAAAAATACTATGCCATTGTAGATAACAGTAACTGTTTCAAACTTTGGTCCCTGTGGGGTGGGGGTCGAGAGCTGGCTCTGTCACATCCTTTGGGTGGGTCTCTCACACCACCTCTCTACTATGTTCAACTGGAGTTTGGAGCTTTTGTGTTGGCAGCTAAATTTGCTGAGTCCCTCTTCCTCCTCTCCTCCTCAGTTTCTGACATGTCTCTCCATGACTACACAGTTACTACGCTAAGAGGGTGAGACAGAGTTCAGTGCTGGGTGGTGATCTTGGACCTCTCTCTCTGGGCTCTCTTGCTGCCCTGACTCTCAGAGCCTAAGATGGGGCTCCTCTGGCTGTACCCCAGGAGGAGCACAAGCCTCACTTGGGAGTCCTTGCAGCAACTCTGCAGTTTGAGGTTCATGAACCACACAATCCTCTTAGTGTCTGTGTCTCGGATTTGCCCTACAGTACCCAGTGACAGCAGGGCAGCCACTGGGCATGCAGCAGTAGCCAGAGTCAGCCCTGGGCACCTCTTACCTCAAACTGGATCAGCACTGTCCCACTCTCGAGGCCCTTCTTTAGGAGCTCCATGGATGCCTCCAAAGTGTCCCCACCCTCTGGACACATGGGGAAAATGGCCTCTGGGAAAAGCTGGTTCAGTTCATCGTCAGATTTGATCTCGGCAAACGAGTGGACAGCTGGAACAAACAAGACAGAGCATCTGGCTTGCCACGGTGGCTGATCAGTTTCCCTCAAAAACCTACCCTACGGCACGGGGTACAGATGGTTTATAACGTCTTATTAAATGATTAGGCACAAGGTGATCATTTCACCAGAGACACCACTTCTGGGCTAATGACTCAGTATGTGGTAATTATGGAAAACAACATACTAATCTTTCTGGTAAGTCTTAGATGAAAGTGTTTAGTACACATAGGGGTTTTTTTTTGTGTGTGTGTGTGGTACTGGGGATCAACCTTACAACCTCACGCTTACCAGGCAAGCTCTTGAGCCACTGAGCTAAATCCCAGGCCCCCACGCAGGCTTTTTGCCAAGGTGAGGAAAGAAGAAATGGCGTGTTTTAAAAGGAAGCGAATCCTCTCTGCATGCTCTCTGGCCTGGTTATCTTTCTACCTCACAACCTCTTCTCTCTTCTTAGGTTCTTTTCACTTACTTTCTTAAAATGAGCATTTTCCCAGGCACCAGGAGATGGGCCAAGCTCTCGCTGTGACACCATCGTTCCTGAGCGCCCAGAGGCTGTTTCTATGTGGGAGGCTCCCAAGAAGCTCCAGTCCTAACCTCTCATCTGAGCTTCAGCTTTGTCTAAGCCCATGTCAGACTTAACGGGGGAGAAATTCTTGCCCAGTACTTCTATTTGTCTGTATCTACTTCTTTATTCTTTCTCCCAAGTTGGAAGCTTTGGGATCACTTCTGAACTTTCTGAGTGGAAAGGGAAGTCACTCTCTCACTCGAAAGCCTTCAACAGGCCAGATGTGGTGGTGCACATCTGTAATCCCAGCGCTGAGGGAGGAAGGGGCAGGAGGACTGCAAGTTTGGGCTCCACTTGGGCAACTTAGGGAAATTCTACCAGATAGATGTAGACAGATAGATAGGGAACTGGTTGGGTGGCTCGGTGGTAGAGCACTCCTGGATTTAATCCCCCGTGTCACATACACACAGACACATGCCTTCAATGGTTTCCTACTAATCTTTAAATAGTAAGAATGGTTTCCCCACACAGTTGAACTGAATCCTCACAGTTCTGAACGTTCCTGTTGTTTCCATTTCACAGATCAGGAAGTAGAATCTCAGAAAGGGTAGGTCATTTATCCCAAGTAACTCAGCCTGTTAGGGTAGCACATGGAAATTCCTGGCAATACACAACAGTTCATGGCCCTCTGACCCTAAAGACCACGTTCGTCTCACCGACCACAGCAGCTCAGCTGTTCTTGTACTATGGATTTCTGTCCTATCTATGACTCCCATCCCAATGTCAGTTTATCCTTTTTTTGTATCAATTCATATTTTTTATGTACATGCTTATGTTCAGATAAACTTACCATTACAGTTACTAAAAGACTGGAGGCCTGTTGTTTAAACTTGCACTGTCTACTCATACCTGTCGTCATCTCCAACAGGGGCAGCCCCTTGGTCAGGCCTGGTAGAGGCCTTTTCTGCTGCTCTGGATACCCAGCATATGACAGGACACATCTATCACATGAGGGAAGCCTGTCCTCATCTCCAACTCCTCTGATGTCTAGTGCTGTGGACCTACTGGCCACAGGGTTGTGGGTAACTTTCCTCACCTTTGTGACTTGGTTTCCTCATTTCCCCACTTAGAGTGAGAACACTCAGCTCAGAGGAGTTGTGGGAATTCAAGAGGATGATGACGTAGTACAAATGGCACAGAGCAAGGCCTGGCCCTTCCCAGGCACCAGCTGCTACCAGGACTCAACATTTACTGTGTTTCCAGCACACTGCTGAGGTTGGTGGGATGAGGAGGTGGAAGGGGATGGGAGTGACCCAAGAGACCCTTCCGTCATGGAGTTGTGATGAGGGAGCCCCTATGGCCTCATGCAGGAGGAGGTGTCGGGGTCTATGTGGGCCTGGCTGCACAGGACAGGGAGATCTTGCGGGAGCAGAGAACGAGGGGTGTGAGCTGCGTCTACAGGTGAGGCCAGGGCCTACAGTCATATCCTTCATTTACAGTCCGAATTCAGAGCTGTGTGGGGGGACCCAAGGGAAATGGCTTGTTAACGCAGAACAGGAACAGGAACAGTAATAATACCGGACAGAGCTCTCCCTTCAAATACTTGCTGTAGCTAAGCTGCAGCCCCAATGCTTTCCAGGGTTAGCACCATTCAGTCTCCACAGGAGCTGCGAGGAGGGCGCTGTGCGGCCATCATCTCACGTCCTAGGAAACTGACTCGCAGCCTGGGTATGCAACTTGCTCAAGACCCCTCAATAGGTAGGAGACATCGGCCCAGATAACTAGGCTCCGCCCTGCCAACCTCACTGACTCCCTGACCAGATCAAACACACGGCAATAATTTAACCCTGTCCTCCAAGAAGGAGCAGAGGCAGCTAGCAGTGTGCCTGAGCTGCGCCTGGCCGGAGCAATCTGCGGCTCTCACCCTACATAAGGGAGCTGTGGGGCTGCCTCCCTCCAGAGAACTCTCGGGGTCAGTGCCCTCCACTGCAGGCACATCTTCAGGTTTCCTCAGCAAGAAGCTAGGTTTTTACGTGAAAATTCTTTTTAAATGTTGGCCACAGACCCAGCATTTTCCAAAGCACAGCCTGGGCTAAGGATGATCCTGCTTTGCTAGGGCTGCATTCTGAGGCTGTTCCTCCTGCAGGGGTTGTTACCTTTCCTCCGGATCACCAGGGCCAGCTCCCTGCTGTGGGACTCCCGGCTGGCTTTGATGAACATCACCACCTGGTCATGAGTGTGTTCTGAGATGTCCCGGCCATTGATCAGCACAATCTGATCCCCTTCGTTCAGCTTAGGAATGCAGGTATCGGCCTGGTGGAGGGAAGCCAGCTCTCCGTTACCATAACGTCACCCTCAGGGAACATCGCTGAGCTCTCGGATGCCGGGCCCTGGAGATGTGATGAAGTTTATCTTCCCTCCCCCAGCACCAGTGTCACCATTTTCTCATATACTGCTGTGTGGACATGGTAGTGGGTCTTGGGATTTCACAGACATGTTGCTCAGAATGTAAGTTATGAACTATTTCATAACTAGAGACCTGCTAAAAGTCAATTCTCCATGGGAGCCAACCTTTGCTTACTATCATGACAGCGATGCTTCCAATCTTTTGTTTTCTGGATGTACTTGTTAGAAAATGATTTGCCAGCTAAGTCTAAGTATGTATGTCTTGCAGCAGAGAAAGGAAATCTTTGTCAGCAGAAGCTGTTATGGAGCTGAGTGAGAAACAGTGTAAGAATGAAAGCTTCCTTAATCCCAGAAATCATAAATAGCAATAAAATGTATACAAGAAGCTTAAAGACTACTTAAGAGTAAAGCCTCCGAGTAGTTCTCTCCTAGAAGGAACAGCAGTTCTTTGACACTCTACTGCTCTGAAAAGGCAGATGATAATAAGGTAATTGGAGGGTGACAGGTCTGTTTGACCACAGTAATTGCTTCCCTGTATATAAGTACATCACGCCATACTCCTAAATACATACAATTAAAAAAACAACAGAAGAAAACAAAGCCTTTAGGAGGCCCTGGCAAAGAACTGGAGCAGGACTGGTGGTGAGATGTCAGGAAAGGGGCCTGAGATTATGGTTCTATTTCAAACATGCAAAAGGGCAATCCTGGTGCCTCAGTTTCCCTCCTTCCAGCAGTACTTCTCAAAATGTAATGTGCACATGGCACACCCGGGGATCTTGTTATAAATGCAGACGCTGGGTCAGCAGCCTGAGTGAGTCTGAGGTTCTGCAGGTGTAATTAGGTCTTGTGTGATGCAGGTACTGCAGCCTCAAGGACCACACTGAGCGGCAAGGGTCTAAAAAACATGGGTTCCATTCTTCCTCTCCATCTGTAGGTATTTACAGACATGCTTTGCTGTTGTAAAGAGACAAAGAGTGAGAGATAGAGGAAGGAAAGGTGGGGAAGAAGGAAGGGAAAGGAGAGGGGGAAAGAAGGGAAGTGAGGAAGAGAGGGGAGGGGAGAGGAGGGGAAAAGAGGGGAGGAGACAGAGGGGAGCAGGAAGGAGAGGAGAGGCATGGGAAGGGAGAAGAAATGGCACAGAAATTGAAACCTGGCAGATTTATAGGAAAGCGAACATAGGTAGCAACCTGGGACACGTTTACTCACAGGTGACTCTGGGTTTATCCTTGAGACTACAAGAGGCATCTTTTGATCCACTCCTCCCTGTAATGTTTTAAAGTGAAAGACACTTGAGTTGTTTGTAGCAGGAAAAGACAGGCAGACACCAACGAATGTGAGTCTTCTGGCCCACGGCCTCAAACTTGGCCCATGCCAACCACAGGTTTGTCACCCCTTTCAGAACCACAGAGTAACACTGCTGACTCCACCACACTACAGGGCTGACCAGAAGAGCTCTGCTCAGACACCGCCCCTGCCACCCTGGGTCCATCTTAACAAGCACCTTTGACCGGAGCTGCCACCAACTCCCTGAGCTGTGGTATTCATGGGTTTAAAAATACTGTTATTATTGCTCATTTTTAAGAGCTTAATAAGATGGTATGAACCTAGTGCACGGCAAACATCAGGTACAGAGCAGGATCTTAGCATGAGGCAGTTGCTGTGGTCATGTCAAACACTCCCAGTTCTGAGGGCTGAGCTGGTCTCCTCACGTAACTGAGCTATGCAGTACGATTCTAAAGCAAATTAAAAATTCACCTAAAGACTGCTCCCAGCATAAAACCTCTTTATACCTACAGACAGCATACCTTAAGGTTAAATCCAAATTTCCCATCTTCATCTGGCGTGATACGGATCAAGACTAAATAGCTGTCACCATTATCATTCTAGAAAACAATGAAAAGTGGTCACTGACATTATTTCCCTCCCCCGTGCTTAGTGATTGTTTCTTTGGGTCATGCTTACTTAGCTGCCTGCCCATGGGATAGGTCCTCTGGCCACTTGCATGTGCCATGACCTGAGCCCACTGACCTTGTCACAGTAGTACTGGCCAGTGTCATCAGTGGAGCCCCCTTTGGTCACTCTGTGGAAGTCCTCTAGGAACTGCTGGTCAACCCCATCTGGTGAGCAGGATCCTGGAGCGTTTGAAGATGGAGACACAGAACTGGATGACTTCTGGGTCAGGCAGCTATGTGCTGCGTTGTTCTCGGATAAACTCCTTCAGTGTGGAGAAGGAACAGATACATTAATAACTGGTTTAATATGTTATTGGAACAAACACTGCTGATTGCTCATGTTTCTGCTGACCCCTGGCGCCTTAATAGATCTGCAAAGGTCAACTGCAGGGCTCTAGCACAATCAAGAGTCCTCAAGTCACCACTGTACTGTCCAGCCAATACTAACCCTTTTGGTTTGGGATAAAGAGGCCACAGGAAGGCAGGGTGCTTTAGAGAAAGAGTTGTGCTATGCTGCCCAGGCTAACTGCATGTGATCTTTCTGCCTCAGCCTTCCCAGGAGCTGAGACTACAGATCTGCACCACTATGCCTGTACTGGTGGTTTAAGTCAGACTGTCAGCAAGGTCACATGAATGGACACGGCCCCGACTCTTCTGGAAACTTTCTTTCCATCTCATTCCTGCTGCTAGTTCTGCTTCACAGAACTCTGGGCTACTCAAAGGAGCAGCTGCTTCATATTCAGAATAACCTCCATCTCTCCTGCTTTGGGGCATTTACTTGTGACATCTATGAATTGTCCCAACTGAGATCATATGTTTTTATTTTTCTCCATTTAATGTAGGACTTTCTATATCTTAGGGCTGTCACATGTGGCTATCTAAATGTAAATAATATGAGAAAAGTCGGTTTCTAGTACCAGCCACAGTTCAGACACACAATGGCTACATGTGGCAGGTGGCTCCTGCACAGGCTCCACCATCCCACAAATTCCGTGGTGCACCACTGCCTAGAACTGTGTGTGTGCCTGAGAAGGCAGAGTGACATGCCCAGCGTCACACAGCTCCCCCTCCCCTAGGAGACAGCAGTCTGATGCACCAAGGGCTGAGTATTTCTTTCCTCTCCAGGCCGTGCCAAATCTGCTCCTGAGAAGCCCTGGCTCTGACCTCAGAGCCACAGGGTCAACCGTCCCTTCTTCATCATATATAGCCCACAGGATGCCCAGCTTCTCTGAATCACCCGCACCAGCCCCTGCAGAGCCACGGGGCTTGAGCAGGTATCTCAAAACACCCATGAATATGGGCTCTTTCTGCATTCTACAGACAGCTACCTCCTAGTCCTATGCAAAGTGAAGACAGGAAGTGAGCAGAAACAAAGTAGGCAGCTGCTTCTAATTCGCATGCATGGATTTCTCATTAAAATGGTGCTTCTGTTTCCTTTCAAGTTCAAATTAGCTTATCGTGTGTGTGTGCGGGGGTGGGGGCTTGGGCAGGAGGTGGCTGGGCAAGGAACCCAGGGCCTTGCGCATACTAGACAAGTCCCATACCACTGAGTCACACCTCCAGCCCCAGTTCTACTGTTAATAACAGCACCACCTCATGGTGGGAAGGGCAACGCAGAAACCAAAGCATTCAGGAAATGCTATTTCCAGTTCTAATGCTGGACTTGAACCTTTTTTATAGGAAGAAGTTGTCAACAGTGTGTACATACTTCAGATGTTTGGATGAGTCTACAGGCTGGGTGACAGTAGTGGAAAGCAACGGAAAACAAAAAACAGAAAAGCTGGATGAATTATACTTATTTAATTTTTAAACTGGATTTCAACTTATTTTTCTGTGGGTGTGGACTTTATTATATGAGATATACATCTTTTTTAACTGAATAGTCTGTCTAAAACAGCTTACAGGGCTAAATAATACTGGTACCAGTACTACTCTATTAGTGTTATTAAAATATTCAAAGTCGTCCTATGTCTCAATTTGTTTTCCAAGTAGGTTTTGAGAAGCTACTTTTAGGCAGTAATCTAGTTACACAAATGCTGACTTTGGGCCTGACTGACTGTGAAAAGAGGTTGTCTGCAGGATGCAGAGACACTCAACTCATTGTGCAGGATGGATGGACAGACAGATGAGGGGCAGCACAATGGATGACAGAAATGACTGGTGGCAGCCGGCCAGAGCACTGGCCTTCCAGGAATGGAGCTGTCGACACAATAGGCTCCTCCCTCATTTGTAGGACTCGAGGTGCCACTGAGATGGGGCAAGTGGGCAAGGAGAGAGAAGGAAGGAGACTGCCTTGCAGACCAGGTTCCACGGGGGGAATGAAGAAAGGAAGAAGCGATGGGCTGAGGGACAGAAGATGACTTTGTGGGTGGGACTGAGCTGTTGACTGGGGGCAGGAGGAACAGAAGCAAGAGTTTGTCCCTAAGATAGGAAGAAGAGGATGCCAAGGACTCTCGCCATCTTCTAGGAACCAGAGCAGACACATGAGATAGATCAGGTCCCAGCTTCCGAGGAGAAAGGGGCAGAGACAGAACACCCATCAGATGCTTCAGAACCACAGAGGCAACTGGCATCAGCCACAAAAGCTGTACATGAATTCACTTCTCTAGAAAGCGACAAATTAAAGAAATGAAAAAAGACAGTTTCTTATGAAAGGAAGATGCTCTCCCAAGAAAGGGTGGCTAATGCTGTGGAGTCGTACTGAAAGAATGGCTTCCTTCATCCTGATGCAAGGCAGCATGAGATGGGCATGAAGATGAGGGTGGAGACCGGGCCAGTCCGGGTTCTGGCCAGTCTGCACATGCTCGGTACCAATGCAGCAACCATCGCAGGCCTGACTACATTTTGGATGTGCGGTTGGTTGAATTTGTGGATGCTGGACCTGTGGTGGTGAGGGCTGACAGCCAACCATCAGCATGTCTAACATAGCACCTGCTATACTTGCGCACTGCAAAGCACTTTCCCTCAATGGTGTGCTGCTCAGGCCCTGGGAGCCCGGGGGACCAAGGCCAAGGGAATTCCTGCAGTCAGTGTGGCTGAGGAAGGAGATCACTAAGGTCCCTTCCAATGGACTGATGCTGTGAAGATGAAGTGGCAGCTGTGTCCTATCCTGTGGAAGGGCTCAGGCTCTATGGAAGAGGCAGACAAACAGTAAACAAGTTAAACGTGCCAGCCAACAACACTAAGACTAGGGTCCTATGCCAGTGACATGTCCAAACAATTCTGATACTAAAACAACAACTAAAAGTCTTTTGCACGCAACACTAAATGGCTCTAAACTTTGTTTCTGCCAGCATCTTCTGCTCTGCAAGCCAGTTTTTCTTTAAGTACTTCTCCTTTGTATCTGGTGGGAGATAGTGGGGGTTTTGCTTTTTGTTGTTCTCCTGAAGAAAACTGACTTTCATGCAGAATTTGGTTTTTCCCTGAAAGCAAGGCAAGGAACACTGAAAGGCTGATAGAATGATGGGAATAACAAAAGTGTACAGCCTACTTGGGCACAAAACACACTGCCGAGGCTTCAAAACTATAATCATAAACTTGCAGTGCTGCTATAAATACGAAACAAACCAGAGTGAGTCATCTGCCGGAATAATGTTCAGACAGCCGGAGCTGTGCCACTCTGGGTGGAGATCCAAAGACTAACCACTCTTTTTCTCTCTCTCTTCTTCATTTTTAAGTGAGAACAGAACATTGCACTTAATTCTTCGTCTTAAAAGGAACCCTCCTCGCTGTCTGTTCTCTGACAGAATGCTTCTTTTTGCCTTTTAACACAAATCTGCTACAGAAAACATGTCAAACTTTTTCTTAAACATTTTGCAAATACTAAAGTTCCAGACACAAGTCTTTCTCACCAAGTACAGCCCAGCCTTTACTTCTTGCCTGGGGCAGCAGAAGATGCCTAGGTGCTCAGTGAGGCCAGAGGCCTTGAAGCCCCAGGACAAAGCAGCTTTACACCTGCAGAAAGAGGTCCTCCACCTAGTGTCACCAACCACCTGTCCCAAGCAACCACCCATCCCACTTGCAAATTACAACCACTAACTCTATTCCCCAAGTGGTCTACCGTCAATGCACCCCGAAAAATGTCAGCAAGGAAGGCAGTCTTTGCATCATCACTGTGTGCTACTTTTAACATTCAGCTGCAAAATAAAGACGTGCTCCAGGAAGACATTTTACATGGTCTTGTGGAGAAGTTTCAAAGAGAATCAGCATGAACTGGGTGCAGGGTAAGCAGGGCTACAAATCACTGAAGTCCACAAGACTTGAGGAAATAAGGTCTAAATATTATTTTACTTTCATAAATTTAAATGGTAAGCAACTCTATGAGTGTGGCTCCTATAATGTACTGCAGTTCCAGATGAGCTAGTATTCCATGTGACTGAAGAAAAAGGGGGAACACTGATGAGGACACACAATCAGGCCTTTCTGAAACCTCAGACAGTTTTCCAGACCCTCTCCTCCTATCACTAAAGCAACAGGGTCCTACTCTGCGAAGACAAAGGTTGGTTAGGTGCCACTGGCCTGGAAAAGCCTGAAGGAAAGCCGGTATAAAGTGTGCTGGCAGACTCAGAGATGATGGAGCCTCACAAAGAGCTCCAAAGAGTCGAACTAAGGCATTGTCCCCCATCTGACGCTGACTGTATGGTGAGACCTCAGACAGTGCTTTGCACAAGGGCTCCTGGAGGCTGTCAACCCACCCCTGGGGCTATGCCATCGCCAAACAGCTCGGTGAGAGGCAGCAAGGACTTCCACCGCAAGTCAGGCGATGATGCCCGATTTACACTTGGATTTTGAGAAATGTCCTTTGTTTTTGTAGATATTGTGGGAATTCCCATCCCTTTTAATGAGTAACAGAATAAACATCTCAGGCAAGGTGAGTATTGTCAACAGCACTTTTTGCATTGATGGGAATGGGCTTCATCTATGCCGCCCAATGTGGTAGCCACCAACTGTGGCTCAATAGAGCACATAAGACGTGGCATGCGTGACTAAGGAATGTAATGCTTATCTTCTGGCAGGCTTTTTTGGCTTATAGATGCACAGCCACCCATGCTGGTGCTACTGTACTACACAGTGGCAGGCATAGATGCCCTATGGTCCCATACTGGGTTTGCAAAATCATGTAGGAGGCTCTGGGTCATGTGTGTGTGTTTCTCTGAGTCTCTGGGCAGTTACCTAAACCCTCCTGTCTTTTTGCTGAAGTGATAGAGCCCAGAGTCCATGCAGGTCTCAAACTAGACAGAGTCGAAATGCCTGCACTTCAGCATTTCATTTCCTGGTCTGTAAAGTCACAGGGTCACCCAAAGAAACGTACATACATCCACTGTAGCTTGTGCGATGGGGCAACAGGTTGCAAGCCAAGGTGTGAAAGAGTGATCATTTCAACAAAAGTATCATCAACATAGGTCATGAAGAAATAATGACTCCAGGGATTACTGCACCAGAGGTGTTAAGAATACAGATAAACTGAAGACCTGGTTTTCCATGAGCAGGGACAGAGCAGAGACAGCAACGACACATGTAAGGGAAAGAGATCTGCAATTCACCCGTGAATGCCGAGCACGGCAGGATGCACTTAACGCTCTAAACCTAACAGCTACAGAGGTAAACACATACAGATTAAAGTGTCTCTTGCTAATCCTTTGCTGGTGTGGGAGGAATTATATTTCCAGATTTTGGCCACAGTTTGGGATTTAACAGGATGGTTACCCAATGACTAAGGTTGGCTTTCTAACAGTTTTATCTTTTCGTATCATACATCATTTTAAAGAGTCACATAATTTATGCTCTATGTCTTGTTTCCTTTGGAAAATGATTTGAGATTGCCTATTCTAAAACATGTCTTCATTGTTAAAATGTATTCATGTTTGAATTGAACAAAGAAAGAGCGGAAGAAACTGAGAAGACGAAGGCCAGGGCTGAGGGAAGTGAATGCCAGGCAGCATAACACGCGGTTCTGAGCTCCTTGGCAATCACGGCAGCTAAGGGATGGGCTGTTACTGAATCACAAAGACTCAACCCAGTCTTTTAGAGGACATTCATTCTTCCCTGGCATTGATCAAAGTGGAGAATTTGTCATACTAGGAAAAGGAGACAGGGATGTAGAAAGATTTAGAAAAAACCTTGACAAACATTTGACAAGGGAGATAAGGAGGGTTCTAGTTTGTCTTTTTTAAACAATATTAATTAAAAACAAGAAAAACCGACAAATCCCCCAAAGCCCCAGGGGCGTATTCTTGTTCTGAGCAAGCTTTTAGCAGTAAGCACATTTCCAGTGATCTGCACTCACAGAGCAATGCATTGCCAATCTAGAGAAATCATAGCTCTCATGGTTCTAATCCTTTCCTCTGCGAGACAGACTGACTCAGACTGGGCCTTCCTCGTGCACACGGGAGAGGAGACTACACAAGAGGTGATGGGCACCTGCAGAGCAGGTCTCCATCACAGACAAGCAGCCGCATGGTCCCAGGCCCCAGGCACACAAGTGGTCTCCCCATTGGACAGGCAGTCTGACTGATGCTCTTCTGCTGGCAGCCAGCAAGCACCTTTGGAAGCTGGCTACAGGCTCTTGCCTCTTCTCAAAAGGCAACCTGGGCCTGACCATTTTCCTCTACAGTCAAATAGCAGATACAAAGAAACAAAAAAAGCACAAGGTTCTTACTCTCGGTGCGGGCTGCGGTTCTGAGAAACTTCGGAATCACTGTCTTTGGGGGACAGGGAGCCCTTGTAGGTATAAAACACATCTTCGGTCTCCGTAATATATGTCATCTCGTTGGCGAGGTTATCGGCAGAGGAGTGGCGGGGTTTTCGGATCTCATGCCGGAGCCGAGGACTTCGCCTGCGTGGGGAGAGGTAAGGCGCAGAGTGCTGAAAGCAAATTCCTTGTGGTAGGTGACCAAAGGTCATCGATCTGACTCTGTCTTGGCCTCTCCTGTCTTTAAAAATCAGAGTCAGACAGCTTGCTCCTGCACTAGCAGAATATACCCAGGGTGACAGAGATCCCTACCACTCAGCCCAGTTGGAGTGGCCCTCAGAACTGCAGGCTCAGCCTCGTGAGCAGGCAGGAATAGACCGGTGTAGGCCTTCTGACCAGTGAGTGCGCCCACCTGGCGTGAGTCCTGGAGCTCCCAAGACACAAGCAGGCCATACTGAGAGCTCATCAGAAAACTCTCAGCAACGTAAACAAGGTACGCAAAAGGTTTAGAAACCAAAGATTTTATCATGGCAAACCTCAAGCCTTATTTTAACTACCTCCACCCATGTGAATTCTACCTGATCCCAGAACGAATGTTTGCTCTTTGAACTACATCCCTTAGTAAACCCATGTCATGAGATGGTCATCTGAGTGCATCTGTTCTCCAACAGAAGCAGTAGCCAAGTGACCTTAAGCAAGTCCTGCTACCTGTCTGGATCTTAATCATGCTTACAGCTCCTGAGAAAGAACCAAATGAAGCCACGTTCTCAAGTACTGGGGTGACTGCAGTGGGTGGTCTTTGGGGCTCTCTTTCCCCCACAGTTTTTCCATCTTGACTTTCTTTGTATTCATTTCACCTTAGGACTGTCAGGGCTTTTGTGACCTGCACTTTCCCTGAACCTGGATAATTAATAATGTGTTCACTGTAGAAGTGAAAAGGCTTTGTGAGCTTGCTGGGAGAGGATCTATAGTGAGCAGCAAGAGCTCCAGACTACAAGTGTGGTAACACCCAAACTTGTCAAGGACAGTTTCTTCTAAGCCCTTTCACATCTCTCTCTCTCTCTCTCTCTCTCTCTCTCTGTGTGTGTGTGTGTGTGTGTGTGTGTGTGTGTGTGTGTGTGTACCAGGAATCAAACTCAGGACCTCGCACCTGACAGGCAGGTACTGTGCCACTGAGCTATCTCCCTCAGCACCTGTCTCCTTTTCTTAGAAGAAATTCTCATTTATCAAGCAAGGCCAGGGGAAGAACATGTCTCTCAAAAAGACTGGCTTGAGTTCTTCTGTCATTCAGTAACAAATAGCACATCCCTTTTTGCTTTGATCCCATCTTTTCCCTGGCACTGCTACCTGAGAGATTTCCAGATAAATGAAGCCACTACTGTCTAGCATAAATTCACCTCTTCAGGTGAAGTGCCTACATTTTAAAAGCCAAAAAATAAGCCCACTCTATCATGACATGATTCCTGACAGTTACTACTGTCACCATCCTTGGCCAGAGCACTAGACCCCCGTGGTAGGGTCTGTACCTGGCATGCCCTGTGCAGTCCACCTCTTTCTACTTCCTAGTTTCCCTTAGTTCTAATGGCTCCTGGTCTGGGAACTTTTAGGCCTACCCATCTGGCATCTTTTTGTCCCCCCTTTGGTTCCCCATATTAGGAAAAACATGCCATACTTGTCTTTCTGTGTTTGGCTTATTTTACTTACTGTGATGAACTCCAGTTCCATCTGTTTCCTTGCAAATCACGTAATTTCATTTTTTTTTGTAATTTCATTCTTTACAACTGAATAATACTCCATGATGTAACTATACCACATTTCCTTTCTTCATCCATATGATGATAGGCACCTAAGCTAATTCCATATCTTGGCCATTATGATTTGTGCAATGATCTGGGTATGCAAATGTCTCTACTGTATGCTGACTTTAATGCCTTCCGATATATACTGAAGAGCAGCAGAGCTGGATCATGTAGTAGCCCTAGCTGTTTGAGAAACCTCCAGACTGATTTCCATAGTGGCTACACTAATCTACATTCCCACCAGCAGAACAGAAGGGTTCCTTTTCACCTGCATCTTGGCCAGCATTTACAACACTTGTATTCTCGGATGGTAGCCATTCTGGCTGGGATGAGATGGTATCTCAGTGTAGTTTTGATTTGCATTTCTCTGAGAGTTAAAAGACTGAACTTTGGCTACCTGTACCTCCTCGAGAAGTCTCTGCTGAATTCATTGGCCCATTTATTAACTGAGATGATTACTATTTTTTTGGTCTTAAGCCCACCTCTGTTTAAAGTCACCCTGCTGATCCCATGTGGATCTGGGGGGCAAGGCTTCACTGCTTTGTTTTCCCTCTGCTGACACATGACCTTTTTGTCAGGAGGTAGAAAGGCATTCACAAAGATGGGCTGATGTCTTTGGAGATCATATAAATGACAATAATAAAGCAATTCTAACTGATCCTTTAAAAGTATAAGGTTACACAGCCCTTTCACATTGTTATATGTGATCTTTTTGTTTGATAACTACTTTATAGATGGGGAAGTGGGTATCAAGAGGGAAAGAAACTTGTTACTTAACAGAAGAGCCAAAAGCTGAGTTCATGACTTCCGGCTAAAAATCCAGTAGTCACAGCCTTCCTTTTTCCCTTCCACTTGTCTGTCTCTCTTCCTCCCTCTCTCTTCTCCCCCGCCTCTTCTCCCTTTCCCTCCCCTTCTCCTTCTTTCTCTGTGCTGGGATTAAACCCTGGGCCTATGCATGCAAATCAAGAGCTTTGCCACTGAGCCACACCTCCAGGACACACCGACATCTTCCTTTTAAACTGAGTCTATTCTCTGAAAAGGTAGTAGGTACTTTTTGTGCCTGTATTCATTGTTACTGTTACTGAGGGTCACATACACTTACACATTTTACACCATGTACTTTTACTGGCTTTCCCCAAAGTGTATTCTGCGGTATGTTAATAGAAAAAACAAGATTAAATAAAGTTACAAATGCTTCTTCACTAAAGCACTTCTCAGAGCATTTAGTATGTGTTATAATTCCAAGCACATTTCAGCAAGCTACAGTTTCCCAATTTATTGAAATCAAATACATTTTTTTTTGCGAGTATAGTAGGTAATATTGATTTAATGGTAGCAAGAGTACATGAGTGACATTGTCAACCTTGATTGATAATCTATAGTTTTAGTCTTAGTGGTTTTAGTTTTAGTAGGTGAGAGAGGATGACCCCACTCCTAAAGAGATACTGGAAAGTCTCAAAAGGTCAATACCAATAATCCCAAGCCTCTTCATCCCTTAGTGAAGTATGTAAAACTGGCCATTGTGACTTTTAATCTTCAGATATGCCTCCAGCCACAGTTCTGATGAATTCTCATCCTCTGCACTGACTCCCTTGAGGTCCCAGCCTGGTCTGACTGTCTAGTATACATCTACCCAACTTAACTGTCTATAAAAGTCCCCCTTCTGAAGAGGTACCCTAACTGCAGGTAAGTGGTAAGGGTACTGGTTTTCATCTAGCTGTTTTAGACTGAGAAGGATTGGATAGAGGAGACCACAGTCAGGGGCCTTCTCCAGTGAGCTAATCTAATGGGCCTCAGACAGAAGATGGACAGCAAAACTTTTAACTCTTTCATTTATGACAATGTCATTATTTTGCTGTCACACTTCAGTAATAGTTTAGTTGGGTATAAAATTACAAGTTCAAAATAAACTTCACTAAGAATTTTAAATCATTTTTCAATTTCTTCCTATAGCCTTGGGTTATGAATTGGAAACTGGGTGATAATTCACGGATCTCTTTTTTGTCCCTTTATCAGTGGTCTGTCCTTTCTTTTTTTTTTTTTTCTTTTTTTTTATTTAAGGAGAAAAGAAAAAGAAACAGTGAAGGGGTACAAGTTATACAGATTTACAGAAGAAAAAAATGCGCAGTAGGAAATCACTAGTTAATGGATTACATATTGCCATCTTAGAAATAATTGTTCAAGTCACAAAATTAAAGCTTGTAGAGTGGACATTCCAACAATGATACTGCAAACAGTTCTGTTCAATGATCCAATAAAACTCTGTGATATCATTTTCTATCTTATACACTTAAATATACATGCAGTTATATAGTTTAGAGCACTTTCTTTTCCTCTCTTTTGTACAATGACTATTACACATTTTGGGTTTCATTGCTCCCACCATTCTTACTGCTTTTTTGGAAGAGAGTAAAACCAAATGTGACATAACAGAACAGAATCGGTCAAGTCAAAAGGGTGGACATAATAGATAATATAAAAACATAATACAAGGTGATCAACAATGGTTACCATAATGCCTCCCGCTATTTCTAATAGAATTGCCTATATCATTAGTTGTAATACAATTGAACAAAACAGTAAAGAACAAAACCGACAAAACCAAAACATTGGAGACATTGTAGGTCTTCAAAAATAGATAAAAGTCAACGAGAATGGGCGTTATAATGAATCTCATTATCTTCTCAGCTGATGCCTAAACTTTCAAACCTGATACTATCCAGTAAAACAGAATAGAGGAACCTCAGTCAAAAACAAGATGGTGAGAGTAATATAGGGCTTCAAATCAAGATAATAGAAAGTCAAAGTGGGTTACTATATTATATCCTGCTATTTTTTTCCCTTTAATTAAACGGATAAAAATGAAAAAGTAAATAATGGAGTGGAGATTGAGAAAAAAAAGAGGGCATAACAGCGAAACAGGGCAGATCAAAACATAACCATTTAAGCAGAATAGTGTTTCACCACCAGATAATTCCGACCCAAAAGTAGTTACCATATTGACTCTTTCCTTGAAGTCCTTGAGTACAACTTCGTATACTGTAGCATTAAGTATATCAAAACAATGTAAAACCATTTAAGAGAATGACAGCATTATAGAGTATTTAGAATCGACTAACAGAAAATGAACAATGGTTTCTGTATAATCTCCTTGTCTTTAAAAGGTTTTTGCTTATACTATCGTACATAATAAAATCCAATAAGATACAACCTGTTTAGACCATTGGAGACAGAAGAACAAAAGCTAGATGAGACTTCAAAACAAGATGGTACTAAATCAGTATTACCTATTAAGATGTCATTTTCTCCAAAATAGCTGTTCCTATCATCCAATCTTCTCTGTCTCATTTCTGTTGAGCTCTTTTTCTGTCAGTAGCTGTCAGTTCGTCTTCTTCATTTAGTTCTCTGCTCCATTCGTTGTGGCCTCCCCGCCACTATTTCTGGGTTCTTTGTATTTTTCTCTTTTTAGAATATCCTGCAATACTTTCTGTAGGGTTGAATTGGTGGTTGCAAATTCCCCCAGTTCCTCTTTATCCTGGAAGCACCTCGTTTTTCCATCAATTTCCAGGGACAGTTGTGCAGGATATCTCAATCTTGGCTGGAGATTATTATCTTTCAAAGCTTGAATTATTTCCCCCCATGCTCTTCGTGATTTGATGGTTTGTGCAGAGAAATCTGCTGTAATTCTGATGGGTATTCCCTTGTAAGTGGTCTGTTTCTTGTCTCTGACAGCTTTTAATATTCTGTTCTTGTATTGAATTTCTGGAATTTTTATTATTATATGCCTGGGTGTTTCTCTGTTAGGGTTGTAGGTAGCTGGGGTCCTGTATGCCTCGTACATCAGAGTATCTTTACCTTTTGCTAAATTAGGAAAATTCTCCTGGATTATTTCTGTGAGTAGCTTTTGTAGTTCACCTGTTTGTGTCCCTACTTCTTCTTTTATGTTCTTAATCCTTAAGTTATGGCTCCTCTTATCATCTTCTTGTCTTTGTATTATTGCTGTTTGTTTCTTTGTTATTTTTAAGAAGTTTTTCATTTCATTCTCCCATATTACAAGTCTGGCCTCCAGCTCAGATAGTCTGTCCTTAGTTTCTTTCAAGCTGTTATGCCAGTCTTGGATAGACTTCTTAATTTGATAGTCCCTTTGAACCTGCTTCACGTACTCTATGCTTTCTCTGTTTTCTCCATCAAGCAATTCTCTCCTCTTTTTCTGTTCTTCCATTCCATCATCTTTTTTTTCCTGGGTGGTGCTTAGCATTTCTCTAACTATTCTGCATACTTCTAGCTTCAGGTCATTGATAACTTCATTCCTGAATTGGTCTATGAGGCTCTCTATATGGCGCTTAATGTATATTGGTGCGGTGTCCACTATTGCCTGTTTCTCAGAATTGGGGGCCGAGGAGCCTTTCTTGTTGCTTCCCTTCCCCATATTTTCTGTTCCTTATAAAATGCAAGCTTACATAGGAGGCCCGGCTTCCCTGCCTGTCAGCCACAGCCTGATCAAATTGCGCTGGCTAGTTGTTCCCGCCCACCGCTGCGCCCCAGGGAGTCGCGGAGGAGGCAGCCTACGCGGGAGTCGGTCGCTCCTCCGGGCCACCGTCAGACTCTGGGATCTGGGTTAGGCCAGCCTAGGGAGTCCGCCAGCAGCGTCACTCAGGCCAGGCACTTTTCACCAGTCCCGTCCGAGAGGGGAATGTGTGGCTGGAGTTGCCACCGCGCCCTGCTCTTACAGGACTGCCTGAGCCCAGAAAAACCTCCACTGGAGTCAAACTGTGGTAGGGGGTCAGTTTCTCTCACTCACCTCGCCACCAGTCAGTTTTCGTGTATGCCTCCTTGTCCGTCCTGTTTTCGACTCCGTTCGCAGACTCCCGTTCCCAGAGCTTCTGCGCGTCTCTCCTTGCCGAGCCGCTTGTGGAGGCAGCCAGCCGCCGGGCGGCGGGAAATCCAAACCGCGGTTTCCAATGGTGCGGGGTCGAGCCTCCACACCGAGTCTTTTCTGTTCCTATTTTAGCGCCAGGACTGTATTCTAAGTTGGTTTCTCTCAGCCCAGTTCGTTCCTGAGTCAGCAGAGCATATCTCTACCCGTTCATGTCTCCTTAGTCCACATCATTCCTGGCCTCTGAGCCGAGCCTTTCAGAGAGCCTCCGGTAGTTGCTGTTGTCTGTCCGCCATGTTCTCCCGGAAGTCAGTCTCAAATACATTTTTAAAAGGATCATTTTGGAATACAGTTGGATACGAGGAATGACTTCTAATGTTCTAGTACAGTCAATTGACAGCAATTAATTATATATTTCAAAACAGCTTGTAGAGAGGTTCTTAAATGTTTCCAACACAAAGAAATAATAAATGTTTGAGGTGATGGATATATCAGTTATATTGATCTTATCATTATACATTATGTACATAGAATAGAATATCACACTGTACCCCACAAATGTGCATTATGTAAATTAAATTTCTTTAAAAAAATTAAAGAGCAGCATCTCAGCATTTTACACTATGGAAATGTTTAGCTAGACTTGCATACTTTGGGAAAACAGTTACCACTGCAACAGTCTAAAATGCACATGCAGGCTCTGATTGTAGATAAGGTCTTGTCTAGCAATTTATAGGCTGTGCTTGTATTTTTAAAAGACAGGACTGTCTCTTGGGAAAATGAACACTTACCAGTTAGGGGTGATTGGAGGGGACCGGGAAGGCAGGCTCTTGGTTTCTAGATGTTCTACTGACAAGGACCTCCGCATGGCTGGGTTCCACACCATCCCTCCAATCAACTTTTTGCAGTATTGGTTATTTAAATACCTGAAAAACCACAAGCAGGTTCACTTTGCACACCGATAGGTTCAGCAAGGAAGAAAATGCAGCACACAGCCTCTCTATACTCTTTCTTGGACCATGGCTGCTCAATACCTGTATGATGCCAACCGGGCGACAAGGAGTGGAATAAGACTGGTCTCAACAACGTCCTTTGTCTTTCTGCTCTTTTCTTTTGGTGAAAATGCTTTTGTGTCTCTACTGCTTTAAGTAATTAAAATGCTTCCCTGATCAACATGCTCACAGGGGCCGCTCTAGAACTTTTCTGCTGAGGTAACGCTACATTACACACCACACAACTGCTGATTAAGGGCACAGGATTAAAACAGGGAGCAAGCAGCACTAGTCTAAGGTTTAATGGAGCAGCTCTCCAAAGCTTGTGTCACAGGTTATTAATAGAGACTCAGAAAAAGTGTTTCATTGTCCCATAAGCTTAGAAAACACTGACTTGGGAACTTTCATAGGGCTCCAGCAAGCAAATGTGTGGCAGTGTCTCTATGGGTGGGCAAACCACGTAGTCTCTAAGCCTCAGTTTCCTCATCTGTAAGATAAATAGAGGTAATAATAACTGAAATTCAGCTAAATGCCCCCAGCTCATCCTTTTGTCCCAAGTGACCCCCTGTGGCAAAGACAGCTGCTACTTCACTAAGCCAACTAGGATTCAGGGCTGCCTGTGACTGCTTTAATTAACAGAAGCACTGGGCCAATTCTGAGCTTCATCCTTAGAGGGATCCTCTTGGAGCCTGAGCCTCTGTGGAAGAAATTCAGCTACTCTGCTGCAGAGCCCAGCTGGAGTTCAGAGGTGTGGAGCCCAGGTGTGGCAATCATTCCTTCAAAACACCAAGCAGGGAGAGAAGCTGTCCTGGACCTCCAGACCAGTCCAGCACCAGATGCATATCACAAAATCTTGTCTATACAGACAGCAGCAGAGTCACCTGGCCAAGCCCATCCTGAATTCCTGATCCACAACATCTTGAAATGCCAGAGTAGTGGAATGTCAAGCCATTAGGGTTCGTCTGTTATGCCACAGATGACTAAAACCCAGCCTCCTGCACTGGCTGCAAAGAAAGTTTTGTAGATGGGGAAATTCAAGTGACAGAGCCTAGTGGCTGAGCACTGGATACCTCCATGGATCTGGCTTAGGGGTATAGGTCCAACCTAAGCAAGACTACATTTCAAGAAACTACTTGGAAGGAAATTGCTCCATTTTATTTATTTTTTTGTCTTTTTGGGACAGAGTCTCTCTATGCAGTTCAGGCTGGCCTCGAGCTCACTCTGCAGCCTGGGCTGGTCTCGAACTCGTAACAATCCTCCTGCCTCAACCTCCCGAGTGCTGGGATCACAGGCGTGAGCCACCATGCCTGGCTTCTCCATTTTAATTAATTCATAAGCAATAACTCCTAACAGGTGGTTTAAAGGGACTGTACAAACACACATGTGCCCCGCTCACAATTCTATACTATCTCGGTGAGCTTCTACATCATGAGATCATCCTCTTTTGCTGTCATCAGGAGCAAGGAAGCTGCCACTAGGAGAAAGATTACCAGTGGTTTTACCCCATATACACTTAATTATATTTTTATACTAAAGAAAACTGATCATGATGGCCAATTGTGCAGGTCTTCAAACTGAACTTCTTGATCAGGAAAATCATTTCCAAGTCTGCACTATCTCAGCACCTCTTTGTTACCCTCCCAGGGGTTCATGTCACTCTGGATCTGGGTATGCTCCAAAAACCGTTTTATCTCATAGAAGCATGGGCCACCAAATTGCCACGACTGCTGTGCCAGCTGGGTTTCCTGAGTCTCCTGGTGAGTCACGTCAGGCCTTGAGGGATCTGCATCATTTTGGCCACCAAAGTCCCAAGGACGGCACGACCTAGAGTATGCAAGAGCCCACAGGCACAGCAACCGCAATGGCTGCCGGCATGAGAAGCCTGCAAGGCCACTGAGGACGGCCGGGCTCCTGCCGGTGCTGGCTGGGACACGGCTCTCCTCTAAAGGGCCAAATGGGGCCTGGGCGCGCCTGTGTCATCGTGTGTGTACAATGCCTCTGTACCTAAAAATGCCTCAAAAATTATTCTCATTACCTGTTCAATAATAGCTACTCAATGTGACAAAATACTAGACAGTGTTACAAGAACTAAAGATTTTAAAAATAGATTTACTCTCGGTTCATCTGAAGCCGAAAGAGAACATTAGCACCGTAAACAGTTTCACTCAGATTAAGAGAAATCTGCTACTCGTGGATCTGTAAGCTACCCAATGACTGTCACGCATTAGCAAAGTCACGCCTCTTACAGAACAGTCTGGTGCAGTTCCACGCATCAGATAATGGGGCAGACACGAGCCTGTTTAGTAACAGCCACACTGATGACAACTCACAAAAACAATTATAAAAAACCAACAAAATATTTAGAAATTCTAAAAACTTGATAAAACAATTTCTGCTACTTCTTATATTCAGAAAGCAGCCTTAGAACAAACAAATACAACTACATGGTTACTTTGTTTATAGATTAAATTTTAACCTAAAATCTAAAAATGTACATGTGAATGAATACATACAAATTTATACAAACTTATTTTACAATTATTGGTCATTAAATATCCTGAATGTCATTCCTGTAAACAAATGTACTTACAGGATAGCTATGGGAACTAAATATAATTCAATACAAAGTAAATACTAGGCTGTTGTCAAATATAGTTATTAATACTTTCTGATTCTTTTTTTTTTTTTTTTTGTCTTTTTCCTTTTTACCGGTACCAGGGATCGAACTCACGACCACCTGCTTGCAAGGCAGGTGCTTATGCCGCTGAGCTAAATCCCCAGCCCCTGCTTTCTGATTCTTATAGGCAACCCATCCCAAAGTCATTTGACTTGGGAAACCTTTATTTCTGCTCATTCAGCTTCTGTAGAAGGCTGATTAATGTTCTGTAGGGGAGGCCAGTTTACTGGCATCAGGCTGGGAAGCCTTCATGCTGGCAGGAGTGACACACAGAGTCCTTCACGGGACAGAGCATGGGGGTAGCTGTGATTCTGTTTGCCAGGGAACTCTAAGCACAGGAGCATGGAGGGGACAGACACCAGTGCGGAAATGTGGGATGCACCTGGGGCTGAGCAGAAAGAGACATGGTTGCTCCTGGGGGGACTTAGCCATGGTTTCAGGCATCAAAAACTAGGACCCATCCTCTGCCAAAGAGGTCCATTTACTAGAGGTGACCAGGACACAGTGACATCTCAGTTAGTGTGTCCACATTCCCTAAAGCACACTCACTTCTTTGGGTTCCTGGAGCCCAGAGTCCAGTACTGAGACAGAACATTCTTTTCTTGAGGTAGTAACTTCTTTGCCTGAAAGAAGGTATGGTGCTCAACACAGGATTTCCACAAATTTTTGCAAGATCGGTAATTTAGCATGTTGAAGGCCACGATATGTTCCCTGGATTCAGGCTGCAAGGAAAAATAATAGTGATCTCACTGTAGAAAGGTAGGAGAAAAATCTGGCAAGCATTGTACCCACACTGGTGGCAATGAGGTAAGAGGCAACAGCGAGCAGAAATCAGGCTTTGGTCATAACTCAGGTGTCACAGAAATACTCCGGAGCAGGGCTGTTAAACCTCTTTGCAAATTGTGGCAATAAAGATGACTAGAAATACTCATCCTCATCATTTGCGGTCCTTTATGAGCTCTCTTGGATTAAATCCACCTAAATTTCGAGGTTGGGTATAATTGGAGTGACATCTAATATGATCCTTTTAAAATTTAGGCCTGAGAACACCTTTCTCCTAAAGAAATTTTTTTTTTCAACTACCAGATAAGGGCAATTTTACAACCCAATTTTATCATTCACAAAGCATAGGGTGAAATTCTGTGATAATGTGTAATAAGCATTTTCTTTCAGTCTTTTTCATCAGGAAATTTTTGTAGTTCACGATTGTATTCTTTCCAGGGAGCTGATGCACGTACATAGCACATCTCAATTCTTTTTTCATTTATTTTCCCCCTTTCCCTCCCTACTCTTCCTCTCAATCCCTTTCCCATTTGAAAAGAAGATCTATTTCCTATTTCCCATTCTCTCTCTTTTATTGTGCATTTCTCATATAAGAGAAACCAAGTGACATTTAAGCATGGGTGTTTGATTTATTTCACTTAACATTATGGTCTCACTGAATATGTATATTACTCAAAGACTTACAATGAACATTTTAATCATTGGTTTTCCTTTCATTTTCCATGTGCTTAGATTTTCTGATTTCTTACACATTTTTATACCACTTTGAATCCTGCTCTAGGGGAGTCAGATGACCTAGATTCTAGACTGTGCTTACTCTGAGTATTAATGTTTTCATTCCTATGTGTTCATTGCTATATGGGACTTTTTGTTTTATGGTGGTGGTACTGGTAAATGAAGCCACCGAGTTACATTTCTCAGCCCTTTTTAAAAATATTGGGATGGATTCTTGCTAAGTTTCCAAGACTGAGGTCAAACCTGGAGTCCTTCTGGTTCAGCCTCCCACAGAGCTGGAGGTGGCCATTTCAAGGACATAGAATCCTTGAAAAATTGGGAAAGGGACACAGTGATAGTAACAGATACGCAGCTTAAAACAATATGGTGCGGAAAGAGCAGGTATCTTTGGTTTCTAACGATCAGTTCAAATTCCAGCCTAGGCACCCCCGTGACTATGAGAGCTTCAGCTTTCTCACTCTAACTGCATCTCTGTGGCTAAGTTAGCTGGCTAAGTGCTGATGACTCCTCTCGGAAGGCAGACACAAGTCACTGTGTGTTAAACACATCAAGGGAAGGAAGTAGCCTGTGGACATTTCTTGCCACTCTGTATGGGCTCTGCTGTGTGCTCTGACTGTGCCGTTCTGTTTCCCCTGAGAAGGGGACATTATTGAATTTCTGGAAATAGAAACTCAGAGCAGGGGAGGTATTGTGAACTGCCCAGCTAGTAAGGGCAAGGTTCTGAATCCACCATCTCGGACGTGGAAGCGAGTTCATGTTCCAATCAGAGGCGCCTGACTTACACAGAGTTCTGCGGACCCTCCACACCCCGTGCCACCGGCAGTGGGAACCCTGAAACCACTGCGCAGTGCCCTTTCATCCTTGCTACCGATGGCAAATTGCCTCCAACCCCCTGAAGATCTAAGAGCTGAAGTAAATTTAAAACACAAGACACAAAGCAAGCATGCATGCAACTCACCTGTTTTTGTCGTTGATGTATAAAGAACTTTTTCCTTTTGAAAGAAATCTTGAGGATATTCACCCTGTAAATAACAAAACAGAGCACGAACAAACAAAAAATAAAAAATAAACCACAATAGGAAGAAAGCACAGACATCGGGGATCAGCTGTGTCCTCTACTGCATGGTCCTGGTGCCTGGGAGCTTGAGGCTGCCTGGAGACGCCGCCAGCCCCACTGCCCCAGCTACGCATGGAGGAGCCGGTGGAGCTGGTCTCACACAGGGCCTCTGGATCGGGAGGTAGCCTTTAAATAACAAGAAGCTGGGCTGTGTGCTATCTTTGCCATAAGCTTCCTTTGTGAACTGGCGCCCTGTGGATGCACACGTGGGGAAGACAGCTGAGGGCAGTGTGGAGCAGGAGCAGGCGGAGGAGGAGGACAGGTCTGGGTCGGCACCAGCTCCAGTACGCAACGGCCACTTGCCCAGGAGCCTCTTAATCAAGTGCATGATTCAGAATCATAGCCACTATCCATGAAGCGTATTTTTATATACCAGGCCACAAGAAAGAGTCTAAATATCCTCTCTGTAAAGTCTTGCAACAACCCTGAAAAGTATGTACTATTACAGTGTACCTCAGTTTCAGCTGAGGAAACTGAGGCTCAGACACATTGCTGCTGAGAGCCACAATCTGAGCCTGAAGCTCACCTGACTCCAAAGCCTGTGCTCTTGGCCCTGTATTCTGAAGTCTAAACAGTGAAATGACAATGCCCCTCTTGCAAAGTACTGTAGCCTTCTGAGGATCTGAAGGGTTAACCATGGCAAGTCCTTAGCATGACGCTGGGCACACAGTAGGCTGGTTAGTTAACAGGTTCACTTTTCTGCGGGGATACCAGAAGTCAAACTCAGGATCTCAAGCTTGGCAGGAAGGCTCTGTGCCACTGAGCTATATTCCCATAACAACAAGTCACCTTTTTAGTCAATTTCATTTATTTATGCCAAACTACAGTAATCTACACAAGATTTTCCACTAGTCTTTCTTTTTTCTTTTTTTTTTTCTGGTACCGGGGATCGAACTCACAATCTTGCGCCCACCAGTCAGGTGCTTATGCCAATGAGCTAAATCCCCAGCCCTTTCATTAGCCATTTTTATAGTTAGGGGAAACAAAGGAAGTCCACTGTTCTCTAAGGTCATATTAAGACGTTGGCAGAACATTCTAGAATGGAGAGGAAAACTTACTCATGTAACATTTCTCCAGCTCCATCAGATACAGACACCACCTTGCTCTCTCGTCGTCTCTGGAACCCTAACAGGGAGTCCTGTTTGGCAGAAGTCAGAACCAACTGACCAGCTTGAGTTCTCCCTTTACCTCATTCAACCCACGGGAAGCTGTGGAACTCTTGTGCCCCCATTAGCTTCACATAGTGGCCTGACAGACACCCAAGGTTCAGAGGGCTCCTGTTCATTGCTCCTTCCTTCCCATGGAGACCCCAATTTGTGACTTGACAGCTTTTTGCCCTAAAGCAAATTTGATGAAGTGCAAACATTATCAATGACCTTTCGGAGCTTCTATTGCTCTCCACCCTTTCATCAGGAAAGGAATGATGTCCGGTGTCTCAGTGCACTGAGTCCTGTGCCTGCATGAGCCCTGGGGGAGATGGGGAACAAGACAGTGCACACCGCTGTCTGGAAACGTAAGTTAATGTGCAAGATGGGCACCAAATAAACGGTGATGCACAAAGCTAAACCATTGCTAAGGGTGCCCACCAAATGCATGCGAGTCTAGTACCTCACACAGCTACAGGGATGGAGCTGCCTCTGCTCCACAGCCAGGCTTCTCTTCTGACATTCCCCACACCACCCCACATGTCCACCCCAGCCTGACCTACCACCTCCCTTTCCTTGCCACCTTGCTCCCTTGTCTCTAAAACCCCACACACCACAGAATTTACTCTCTTAGAATTTGTTCCCTTGTGTCAAAGCCTGTCCTGTTTAGGGTACACCTCTGTGTGAGCTCAGTGCCCTTTTTCCTACATGCTGCCCTTCCCGGGTACTTACCCTGCACCTAGCTTCTCACCCTAGGATCTCCACTCAGTGCTGGCCTCCCCACTGGTCTGAGGTTTGTACCAGAGTCAGGACTAGACCCAGAGAAGAACCAGCTTACAGCTGAAAGGTGAGGGAGAGGGTGGCAGGCCTGCAGATAAATGTGAGGGCCAAGGGGTATCACAGCGCCTACAGGTTTTGCCAAAGAGGCCCTGTTTATAAACCTCCTTCTTAGGACCAAGTTTCCCAAGTCCCTTTGAAGTGTCCTTATAGGACTCGCCTCTTCCCTGATGTGCTGTGGTCCAGGCCCTGGCTGTGGGGCTGTAGGAGGCTGAAGCACGGACACAGCTAGGCCCAGGTGGCTTCCAGCCCAGGCGGCTTCCAGCCCAGGCCTTGGGGGAGCCCCCATCATCCAGAGGGACTTGTGGAGGGAAATGAGCCCTCTGCTCCCTGCTTAATTCTGAGAGACCAAACAGCTGCCTGAGCCACGCAGCAGCCAGCCAAGCTCAGGCTGGGGTTTCCTGTTTCCTGAGGGGCTTTCAATGGCATCAGGGAAAACAACAAGGGAAAGAAGACCCTGTTATCTATTACACCAATTTTATTCTGAAATGAAATAGGGTTATGACGTGGGCTTGTTTTGGAAGATGGATATAATGTAAAACTAATTGAAAAAAATCAGTGCTTCTCCGTCTGTATCCTATTTAAGCATTTCCCTGCAAATACAAATTTTAATGATGAAATAAGAATATAGGCACCAGAGCTTGACTCTGGGTATGAATTTTAACTACACCAATCATTAGCCCCGTAACCCTGCACAGGCTCTGACTGAACCTCCCCTCAAACCGAGTGTAATAAAGATGCCTGTTACTGGTTTAAATGGGAGACATCAAATAAAACACGTAGTAATGTGACCTAGATACCACAGGCAGTCCCTAGCGATAGCTATGATGGTTATTACACTGTAATTAAATTTATTTATAGGATTTTTTCCTGCCATGAATAAAGCAAGGAACATCTTCAAATCCCAATGCATGAGGTTCCACATCGCTAAGCCAAGGAACAGGTGCAGACCTAGGCATCCAATCCAGGATGGCAACATCTGGCATCCAATCTCCTGCCCTTTCGCCCTAACAGCTTTCCTCGCAGATGCTTTTCTTTGTACTTTTGTACTTCCATTTCTGCATCTCCTGCTGCTTTCAGCACTCATTCCCCTCAGCCTCCCTGGAGAACCGGCCTGACCTCCATCCTGCATTGTCATTCTGAAAGGTAGTTTATTTTGAGAGTGTTTCTCTTGAAGAAAGCTCCAACTGCCCGACACAATATATTCCAACTTCTCTCCAAACTACAGTTCGACACACCAAATGCAGTAGGCAGCCTCCATCTGTGGTCTTACTTTATGAGGTTTTTTTGGTACTGGAGATTAAAGTCAGGGTCTTCACATTGTGCTACATTTCCAGCTTTTTTCTTTTCTTTTCTTTCTCTCTCTTTTTTTGAGATAGGGTTTCATAAAATTGCTTAGTTTCCCAGCCTGGGATCAATCTTGAAATTCTCCTGCTTCAGCCTCTCAGAGTGCTGGGATTACAGTGTGAACCACCAGTGGCTACTGTTCCCTAGGTAAACAGTCTGAAAATGTTAATATTTGTCTTGGCTCTTTCAAGAGAGAGCATATTTATACAACTTTTAGGACTGTATACTGTTGTAATTCTATTTTATTATTGCTGTTAATCTTTTATGTGCCTAGTTTACAAATCAACATTTAACAGAGATACATATGAATAAGGAAAGACATATACAGGGTTCAGTACCACTGGCAATTTCAGGTACCCATCAGAGGGTCTGGAATGTATCCTCACAAACACAGGGGGCAGAAATGATTTCTTACCTCCTTATGCTTTTTATCCACCATATTTTCAAAGAGTATCCCAAACCAAAGGGCAACGGGAGGAATAAATAGCAATGAAAAACCAAAATAATTTTCCCAAGTACTGAATCTGGATCGAATCCCAAAGGTCAGAAAGTTAAAACAGCTGGGCGGATTGCCATGAATTCACCACCAGCCTGGACTACACGGTGAGGTCACGATCAGCCTGAGCTACATAGCAAGACCTTATCTCAAAACAGCAACACAACAACAACAACAACAACAACAGAAGTTAGAATTTGGGCTGTGGGTGGTGGCGTTTCTGTTCCTTCTTTAGAAACAAAAATTTAAAATTAGCAGTAGCATTATTCTTGTTCTTATTCTCAGCATATTTTTAAAGCATGATTCAAACAATAATTAGAACTGTTTGCACTCACCAAGGATAGAAACTCGTACAAATGTATTTTCGGTATACAGCAATGCCCGCAGAAGCAATTCCAATCATTAGATCTAAATTGTGCAGATCCTGGAAAAGGAAAATATCAGGTTCACATTGTGTTACAGTCATGCCTCTGCCCTCCAGTAACATTAAAACACCCTTGCCTTTATAAATAGCAACATGTATAAGTTCTAAAAGGAAAATGTTATTGAACATAGGCAAAAATCTTCACTTAACATCTACTTAAATCCAAGTACTTTGCTCTAAATCCTTTTAAATTGAACCCGTGTGCACACACACACAGCCTGTCTGAAAACATGGTTTAGAAAGTTGCCAGATAACCTACTCCATCCACGAAATCACTTAAACTGATGTTCAGTTTTAAATGCTCAACATTCAGCATCTGAGCGCCGTATTAAGATCAGAAAGGCCTCGGTCCTGTACAGCTTTGTAAAACATCTCAACTCCCATTACTGAAAAGGCTGCAGTGACTATGATATGATGATGAAAAACTCCAAGTGTAGAAACGACCCTAAATTCAATTAAGAAGTAGCTATTGTTTATAAATCCAATATGCCCACCATTTAGTAAGAGTCCATGTGCTGGGCATTGCTGTAGACACTGAAGACAGAAAGAAAGCAGGCTGTTTTAAATCCACTTAAGTATAAACAAATAAAATTTAAAAATAAATCAGTTCCTTCCTTGAGTCACACACATCTCTGTTTTCCAGCCAGATACTTCCAATTACAAAGGGGCTGAGTCTGACTTGGTTACAACGGTGAGCCACTGGCCTGCCATCTACCAGCTATGTTGCTTTGGGCTCCAAAGAGGCTCCAGTTTTTTCCTTTGGCAAAATAAAGATAAAAATCCCACCGTGAAGAGTTTTCAATCACGCTGAAATTAAGAGACTATAAGTAAGGAACCTAGAACAGAGCTCGGCATATGGAGCTTCTAGAACAGGGTCTGGTGTGTAGGTGGTACAATAAATGTTCATTCCCTTGTGCTGTGGGACAAACCATTTATGAGCAGCCATATGAACAAGGGGAGTTAGAGAAACTGGAAGGGGAAAGAGTGTTGACATGGTAGAAGTCCACAGAGATTCATGACAGGAACCCAGCTGAAGTCATGTGCTTAAAGCAAAGCCAGGTTGGCACAGGGCAGCCAGAGCTGCCTTTTAACATGATACCTGCAATCACGGTGCAAGGAAAGAACAAATCAGCAGATGAAACAAAAACAGAGTGAGTACAGGACTAAATGACTGGTTCCTTGGCCAAGGACGGGGTCTCGGGCTCCTAATCCTGTGATTTTCCAGAGTCTGTTAGACAGCTGATCCTCTGATCCCTGGACGATCATTTTGCCGACAGTCCTGAAGGTGCACAAGGCACAGATGGACTCAGAGATACAAACTCTCATTTCGCCACTGAAAAATGTTCAAAAACATTCTACCAGAGATGAAGTGAGTGTTTGCAAATGAAATAAAAACAGCGGAATCCTAAAGCTGGTATTTTGTGTGACGCAATGTACTTTTCCTATTTAGTTACTACACTATACCAGGTCCCCCTTGCAGGACTGTTATGGACTAAAGGGAGACATAAATGGCAACGTTTCTATAAACTGCAAAAACATCACCCAGATTTAAAGTTTGGACATTTATTCAACTTTTATGAGCCTCAATTTTCTCATGTATGAAATGGAGATGATTAGAATACCAATTTGACAAAGTTTCTATGGCTTCACATGAAAGCCCCTGAAACAAGGCTAGTATGTGGTATTCAAATATCTTTTCTATTTTGGATCTTATGTGGGCCAATGACAGAAGATGCCAGTGTGTCACTGCTGAAAGTCAGGCATGATTATAGACAGTGCTGGGGCCTGTGTGCTTGAGTACTGTATGACTTCTGTCAAGTCCCTGTGTATCAGCTTATCCATCTGTAAAATGGGGACAATGATAATATATCACTTGTGGCATTACTAAGAGTAATACAAAATATTATTAGATAGAGTAATAAATTTTCTTGTACCAATTTACTAGTATAGTTTGCATTTTGTATTTTCTTCCGCAGTGATAGATATTATTTAATTCTAATAAACCAGTTACAACCAACTTAAATATTTAATATTTTTCACAATCATGCCAGCATTTTCATTTTCTTCTTCTTGTTTGTGGTAGTACTGGGGATCAAACTCTGAAATACTCTGAGCTGCATCTCCAACCTCTTTTTTTCTTTTTTGTAACTTTTGAGACAGGGTCTCATTAATTCTGCAGGCTGGCCTGGAACTCATGACCCTCCTGCCACACTTTCCAAAGTAGATGGGATTATGTGTATGTGTTCCTATGCCCAGTCAGCAAGAATTTTTTTGCTAAACTACCACATTTAACCAACTCTAATTTGAGCAGTGCTTGAGATTAAGTAGTAAAACCTTGTCTTGCTAAACTTTCACATGAAAAATGGATCTATATACATTTTTCTGGCCTGTTTAGCCACACTATGAAATAGTCTTAGAAAAATCACAAGTTTTAGACTTTTGACCTAAAAGGAAAAAATCTTTAAGTATGATGACAAATGTGAAAAAAGCAATTGGATAAGCTGACAAAATTCAGTATTAGTTAAACATTGCAAATATTTTTAATAAGCGTTTGTGCTTTATAATGAGAAACAAATGATATCATCAAAGAAGTTTCCAAACATTTATAATTTAAAAGTTAAATTAAACAAGTTTTTGAACTGAAGGGTACATACTCTACCACTGTGCAGTTCCACGCCATAGAAGTCCAGAGTCCGAGCTATGTTGATGTAGCATGATTCGGCTTCTGACTGTTTCAGCCCGCTGTGGAAGGAAAGACAAAATGCAAAGTGTATCTAATAAACAGGAACCATGAATGACACCTTTTAGATAGTAAAAAAATCTAGAGCATTTGATCACATCCCTTAAAGTTTACTAATTCTGTTACTTCTCTTAAGCAATCCAGCCCTAAAGTCTAGCGAACCATGTTTTTCTTCTTGTTCTTCAGGGGAGAAGACGGCTATCTTGCACAGCTCCTACCCTAGTCAAATTCTAAACTGTTCAATTCACCTGTAGTCTTCAGGGCTTCCTGCTTTTGTCTTTTCTTTCTGCAGTGGCACAAACTTCAAACACCATGGGCCCTGTCCTATTTTAGGATGCTGACTTCTGCTAGAGGAGCAATTCTGGGAGAGAGGGTTGGCAGTGTCTTCTTAGAAGGTACGCTGGTTGCTTGCCCTTTGTTTTTACAGCCTTCCCAAGAGGTGAGAGGTCCCCTGAGAGCTGGCTGCCTGGGTCAGTGCAGCCCTGGTTTGACATGAACAGCTGTCACAGAAGCTTTGTGTCAGATGGGCAAGGGAAGAGAAGGCAGGAGCTGGGCACATTTTGGAGGTAAGGCTGGACCGACGCAGCTGTGAAAGACTGGCACTCCTTATGCCAAAGAAAGCAGTTTTGACCAACTAAACCCAGGGGGTGAGGAGGTGCACCCAGCCCTATGGACTACCTGTCTACTCATCTGTTTACCCAACAACTTCTTAAAGACTGGCCTGTTTATTAAATGCGGCAAACTGCTAAAAAGTTTACCTGGTGGGGTCAATTTGTGGAACAATCAGATTTCAAAGCTGGCCTTTCCTTCAGGAATTAACCAATTTCAATGACATCCTGAAAAGGAAAACAGTAGCCAGCCGCCCCCTCAGTGCCTACTGACTTTGTACTTCATAGAAAAGCTAGTTATACAAATAGACCTGCCACCACCACAGCTCAAAGGCTCAAAAGTCCCCGACCTCTTGAAAGAGGATCATGAGCAAAAGGAAGGAGAGGCCACATCAAACACAGGGGGCTGCGATGGCTGAAAATATCTGACTTGAGCTTCCAAAGTAGGCCACCCGAGCCCCCTGACCTGTGCTGCTCGTGGAGAGATTCCACTTTGGTCAAGAAGTCATCGTTCTGATCTGGTATGAAGTGGCTGTTGGTAAGATAGCCTGGATGATGTATGGAAGAATTAAAGTCTCCAAAATGAGCTGTTTGGACAGAACAAGGGGGAAATTGTAGTTAGTTTGACTTTTTTAACATGGTCTGCATTTACCAGCATCTGTAGCCTTGCAAGGAAAAACTACTTGGAAATACTTTTTGGGTGAACTGTGTCACCACAGGACTGCAGCTTCTCCTCTGAACCTTCACTGGGGGCTAAATACTGTCACATATGAGTGACCCTCTCTTCACAGTCCCCGATGACACCCAGCAGACACTGTGAGATGGTGTTAGCACCCAGGCTTGACACCTCTGGAGAAGAGAAAATGGCAGGCACTATATAGGCTCCATCACATCTCAAGTTACTACAGCACCACATCAACTGGCTCTAAAAACAGTGGGTAGGGATCTGGGCACTGTGGCGCAGGCCTTTAATTCCAGTACTCTGGGGGGCTGAAGCAGGAGGACTCTCAGTTCAGGGCCAGCCTGGGCAACTTAGCAAGACCCTTTCTCAAAATAAAATTTAAAAAGGGGTGAGGGTGTAGCTCATGGTAGAGTGCTTGTCTAGGATTCTAGTATGTATGAGGGCCTGGATTCAGTCACCAGCACTGGAAGAAAGGAAGGAAAGGAAGGAAGGAAGGAAGGAAGGAAGGAGAAAAAGGAGAGAAGAAAGGAAGGAAGGGAGGACAGAGAGAGAGAGAGAGAGACAGAGACAGAGAGAGAGAGAGAGAGACAGAGAGAGAGAAACAGAGACAGAGACAGTGTGAGCGAAACAGAAAGAATGAATGGGGGTAGAATGGAAACCAATGCCAGTTTGACCCACATCCTGGGAAACAGGGAGGTGTAAAAGGGGACTAGGATGTATTCAGAGGTCAAAAGATAGGAGACAGATCCTGGGATTGTCAGGGGAATCATGTAGGGGACCTGTGGACACAGGAGGAAGAGGAACAGGAGTGTTAGGAAGGACTGATTTCTACGCTAGCTCCTGGACCAAGCTGCACTTCTCCTTTGATCCCACTGACTTCCTGCTGTCTGTGCATTGAAATGTTGGTGTTAATGATATGACAGGTATTCTGGAGAGCTGTGCAGTGTTCAACCTGAATGAAGATATAAGGCTGCCCAAGAACTCAAATGATTTGTATGTTGAAACTATTAAAGAGACTGGGGTAAAGATACTTGGAAGGACCTGAGGATATCATCTTCCCTGCTCCAAGACACGGTTCTTCTATTTGTATAAAAACAGGAGTGCAAAGATTATTTTGATCTCTGAGATGTTTCTTCCTTGGTGTGGGGACTGAATCGCAGGGTTCCTGCATGCTAGGTCAATGTTCTTCTGACCGAGCTGTACACACTGCCACCCCTTGAGCTCTGATGGGTAACTGATCTCATAGTCTATTCTTGACAAACAAAAAGTGACTCTCTTTCAGCTTTTTCTCAAAATTTTTAACCTTGATTTTTTTCCAAGGGTTTTATTCAATTTCTCCCCGCAGTAGATTTCAGAGCCAGAAGGCTTTTGAGGACTCTCAGGATAATTTTGGAGCAGCAATTCAACACACATTTCCAAATTAAACAATTCTTCTCTTACCCACACAGTGTGGGGAAAGCCATGTTGCTGGTCATGGCCAATCCCAGGGGGTGAGCCAGGCGTCCACTTAGGTGACTCTCCTCACAAAGCCAAAGGGGCAGGTGTCAGGGCCATGTCTTTGTCTACATCTGCTTACCCTTGTTCCCCTCGATTGCCCTCACACTGATCTTTTAAATCTATACTACCACAGAAGGATTTGTCTCCTCCTCACATGGTCAGCACCCAGTAGGGGCTTAGGGGCCCAGGTGCTCAGAACTGACCTGCAGCGAGGCTGAGAGCAAAGTTCAGACATGGAAGAGGAAATAGCAAGATGCCAAGTGATCTCTGCAGACTCTGTCAAGGTTAGGTGGGTGGGAATGTTAAGGCTGCACGATGGAAGTACAAATGTGGCAGGTAAGTGTGCATGTGATCAAGTGTACAATAGTACACTCATGAGGAATTATTGTGATGCCCTGACATAGGTACTTGAAGAGCACCAGAATCACTTTTTTAAAGCTCCTTATGTTAAAGGGGAGGAAACTGAGTTCTACGGAAAAAGGATTTTTCTCATCTTAATGTCCCTTTTTTTTAAAACAGTAGCAAAACCAGAGCCCTGTTAGTGTCCTCTCACTCTGTACACCAGGTTGAGTTCGCTGCTGGCCATCTGCTAATGTCCCCACAGGCTAATCAAATGCTGTGAAAGACTTTCTGGAGCCTAAAGGCTGTTCACTCATTAGCTCAGGAAGACCCCCTGGGATCCCAATTTGCTCATCCATCCTATTAGCAGTTGTAACCCTGGTGCCATTTTGCAAACATGCACTACAAGTTTTTGTCTCCAGCGAAGTAAAAGTTTTGAGTTTAACACACAACTAGTGAACCTCTCCATCAAGTGATTTTCTCTTGACATCTTAAGCAGCTATTCTGTGCAAAGCTCTCCATGCTAACCACTAGGGGGAACAAAGTTAAACAACCACACAAACATTTGCAAAACACTGGACTATTTGCACACTTATTTCAATGATGCCATTCTATTCAATGCCTAAGATAACTTAGCAACCAGCAATGAATGCTTTTATCCACAGGGAACAGATAAGAAAACTCAGAAAAAAGGGACCCGCTGAGGCTCTTCAGCTGCTAATTGGGAAATTAAACTGACCAGTCCCTACGCTTGTCTGCTCACTATGATGTACCAAATGTCCCAGTAACACATTTTCCTATTTGTTGGGAAGCAATACATGTGAACGTTAACTACAGAAGAAATAAGTAAGTAGGTGCAAAGTACCCTGAACTTTAGGTCTTGTGCTTTCTTTTGGTTGACAGATAATATTTACGTTATATAAAGTGGGAGTCTGCCCCAGATTCTCAAAGTATGGCATTTTGAGCTATGAAGCTGTTCTGTAAGGGAATCTTTTACCTTCTACTCTTGATCTCAGAGGCTCTTATTGGTGGTCATTCCTAACATGCTTTTCTAGATTCTCCCCAAGCAGGATGTGGGACATTCTCTGTGTTTTACATCAAGGGTCCTTGTCCTTCCTGCTATCGGAGTGTAGTGTCACTGGGGAGAACATCGAGCTTTCTCCATCTTGAGGCAGGTGTGGAGCCTGCACATAGCACAGGCTCAGACAGCAGTATAGGACACATACACACACCCCAAAGTTGTTATCTCATAAGCGTTTGAAAAGCCATCGGCAATCTTCTCCATCAGGTCTTTCTGGCTACTTTACCTACAGAGCACTTTGTTATTTCTCTAATCGGAAAATGTGCTTTTAGTTAGCTGGTCGGACTTAAACATTATAAACACCTACCGCAGGACAACTGAGCAAAGTTTATCAGATAAAACACAGGCAGAGTTTTTGACCATAATTTTATATTTGAGAATTAATCTTTTAGAACTATATGCATGGAAGTATGCATATATATTTATTTATTGAGGGTGGGGGACTGTAGAGCTACTACTTAAAACAGCTTGCTTGAAAAGCCAGGATTGTCCTAGCATGCTGATAAATAGTAAACTTCCACTAACGCCAGTTTGCATGCTAGGTGCTAATAATTGTCTTTAGCCATTTTATCAGTCTTTTGTGGAGGAGACCTGACTATAGGCACTTGGACAGAATGTTTTAAATATGGTTCTTCCATTTAACCCTGCAAAAATAGTTTATTACTCACAATAGGGAATTTTTAAGAAAACTTTCTCAGTGGTAGACATGAAAATACACTAGGAAGTTAACACTTGCTACACACCAGCTACGAGTTTTGTAGACAGTCATTCATTCTACCTTTGCACAACTCTTATGGAACACACAGTGACAGGTGGAGAAACAGCGCATAAGTCATGCAGGTGTAAGTGGGAAGCATTGACCCAGGTAACATGGCTTCGAATCATGTACCCATTAACTCAGTCAGGGATGGTCCAACGATAAACAATTTTTAGTTACACATTATGCTTACATCTGCTTAAGATTAGCGTGTTACTTAATTTGAACCAAGTGGCCATATTGCAAACTGTCACAGTCCCCTGCCGCCACCATTTGACAGGTGAGAAAGCTGGGGTGACCAACGGAGAGCATTAAAACTGAGTGTGACTGTCTTCTTTCTAGTATTCCTGCCTCTCAAACCCGCAGCTCTACCTATGAACACTCAACTTGCTCTGCAATCTGGAAAAGCTCAGGTTTCAGCTGATCCATCAGGCAAAGGCTGGCCCACAAGGTAAATTTTGTGTCTAGATATCCACAAGGTACAGGCTGATCGGTACAACACAGCCAGGTCTGTTCATACATACTGTAGGGAGACGGGAACTTCTGAACCCATCCAGGCTCCACTGGGAAATCTGTTTCCCAGGGTGGAGGATAATACAACGCAGGTGAACGGAGACTAACATGGGGTTTTGTCTACCCAGGCTCACTGTGTGGTCAGCACTGATTCCTGACAACCTCTTTCTCCCACTTCCCGGGTCCACGCAGGTGGGCAGGCAAGCTGCAGGTCTAGCTTTCTGGTTCTTTTCTCTTGTTTCTGTCCTTTGTTGCCAGGAGAGGAGGCAGCCTTGGAGCCACCTCAGTGAATCCCAATACTCTGCTTTTACTATTTTGCTTCTTCTGAGACCAGAGAAGGGCAAGTATTTTGGCCAGTGCTTGCCCCAACACCTGTCCATTTGTCCAAGCATTCGGCTGAGGGAGGCAGACCAGAAGGCTTTGGGGCTTATGGTATGATACAGGGGATTTCTTAAATTTTGAGCTAAGACCTAGTCGTTCAGTGTAGATATACTAGTGTCACACAGCCAACTATAAAACAGTAATATTCTACTTGCTTTCCATTTGACTATGTATTCTTTTTGGATTGGTAACAACATATCTTTTTTACCATGCATAATTAGCATCTACCACAGAACCTGACATGGAATATACAAAGTTTAGCTGACTGAACAAGCACATTTTAACTCTAGCCCAACCCATCCTTAATGGAAAATTCTATCAGGACTTACTATCCAAAATGGTGGCTATGAGTCACATGTGGCCGTTCCCCAGAGAAATGTGCTGTCAGTGTAAAATCCAGGCTGGTTTTCAAAGACTTAGTATGAAAACAAATGTTACATATCTCATTAATACTTTTTACATTAATTATGTATTAAAATAGTATTTTGGATACACTAGGCTAAATGAATCATTAAAAATTAATCTGTCCTATTTCATTTTACCTTCTTTAATGTGGTTACTAGAAAACAGCATTACATAGGCAGCTCTCACATTACATTTCTAATAGTGCTGTTAACAGGTCAGCATATAATCCATTAGCGATAGTGAAATTCTGAAAATAAATTGATAAGATCTCAGCAGTGTTTTAGGCAGGCACCAAGCAGGAGTGACTTCCAGCAAATTCTTTAGCCTAGCTGGGTCTCAGTTTCCATGTTTATAAGAGGTGACCAGTATAAATATTGTCCCACTGGGGTATGAAGATCAAATCCAAATACTTGGGCAAAGGCTCTGGAAAATGCCATGTGTGATAGCTGCCTACTGCTTTACAGATTCTCTTTGGAGAGAATGCCACAGCGGAGTTCATCTACTTCTGTCATTTGCACCACCTTCCTTAACCTAACAACCCTAAGTTGCAAGAGAGAAAATCAGGGCAAAACTAGGGCTATCTAAGCTGCCAGAGATATGCTGCCCCCACAAGATCCTTGGGAAAGAGAGACTTGGCCAGTGACTTTCTCAATACATTGTTCAGAATGATCCGTTCACCCATGACAACTGTCCCTTAGTGACTTACATTGTACTGCGTAGGAAGCCAGAACCACTGCTGAATTCAGGGGGCAGGTTAACCTGTCATGAGAAACACACATGAGCGAAGTCAAGAGAACCAGCAGGAGCCCGAAATCCTCACAGATCACATGTCACACAAGGCTTTTCTTGGCAACCATTAAAGAACAACATGAATTGTAAGAAAAGCTATTTTATGATACAAATCATTCTCAAATAATAAAGCAAAGGTAACACACTAAGGATCTTTAAAAAGTAACTTTTTTCATATCTAAAGTGATATACATCCCAAATACCATGAAGCTAGGTTTAGGTCTACCACTGGTCAGTATTTGACTGGTCAGGAAAGGTCAGGCCCACATCTCTGAGAGGAGGCAAATCAAATTCTTACGTCAATCGGCGACTTCCAAATCCTTCTAGCAAAGACTTGAGACTGTGCATAGCTCTACACTTCTGAGTCCTAGGGACTTTGTGACTCCCTTTCTGGACTAGTAACATCCTCTTCAAAGGGAAAAGTAGGAAAGTTTCTTGAATTTTAAGACTCAATTCCTTAATTTGACTATAACTACTTAAAATTCTTACTTATAATTTTTACCCTCCTGAAGATCTGCATGCTTCAATCATCTGTCTGCCTCTCTCAGACTTCTATCACCCAGCATAAGTCCACAGGGCTGGTGGACTTTTCTCATTTCCTCCTAAACTGTCTTCCCAAACAGCCCTCTTCTTTCAATGACTCTACCTGTCTTAGTCATATTTCAAATACTCTAAATGTTTCCCTTTCTCCCTCGACCTTGACTTCGTGTTCTTCTCAGGAGCTCTGCCAGCAGAGCAGGAACAGGAATCCCTGCTGGGTAGAATGGGCTGGGAAAAGAGGGTATGCTTAACATCAGCACTGGGAGGTAAGGAGATATTAAAAGTACCCCCCCCTTGCAAATAGTACTTTCCCAGAGTTCAGTTTGGAAGTGGAAAAAATACAGTTTCCATGACAGCCCATGTAGTTCCCAGGATGTGCCTTGTCTACCTCTCTAATCTGGCGGCCTTCCAGAATTCCCCTTCCTGTCTGTTGCACTGTGAGCAGATCCTAACACTGGATGTGAAGACGGCATCATTTGTGGGGTCCTATTTTCCCTCAAGTAACTGTGTCACTGCTGGAACTCATAAATGTTTCTCTAGGTCTACAGATTTATCTCAGGGATGTTGATAATTTTCATTCACCTGGAGATCACACAGGAGAATAGGCAGAAATGTGATAAGTATCAGCCATTCGGTCTTCTACCAAGATGGTATCAATGACATTTAGCCAGTCTCCCCTGCTAGAGGGACAACAGGTGAGGAAGACTTGGGGGACACCTCAGAAAGAGGCTGAGGAGGCTCACTCTAGATGGAAGGAGCAATCCTACAAAGTCAGAAAGAAAAACATTTCTAAAGAATGATGTTCAAAATACATATTACAGAACACCAGAAGTCTGCTTTCTCCTCTCTACCTTCCACATGTTCCTTGACAGAGTTCTTTCTCTCCAGTCTCCAGGGTTCCCATGAGTTGAGTGAAGGGTGGGCCTGGATCACTCATCTGGGTAGGGAAGATACTTCTGATGGGCCCAGCAAGCCAGGGGACTCAACATCCTGGAGAAATGCTGTGTTCTAGTAAGCCTGTCCAAACATTCTTGGCCACAAATAGCCTGATACACACCCAGAAAGTATTTAGTGGAGAAGATCATCTCCTCAGAGAGGCGATGAGGGTCACTTGCAGACCCGACATGGAATGCAAGAAATCTAAGATTCCCAAAATGCTGTTGATTCACACAACCAATTTTCCTACTGAAAGTGACAGCTCCTGAGCGCCTTGCCTTACTAGACCAGCATAGCTCAGAGCCTTGCTATTAACAGTTATTATAAACATTTGCAGGAAAAATGAAGTGTATAGAAGAAAGGAAAAGAACCAGTTTCTATGGCTACACAGGGCTGCCAGGACCCAGGAGGTGGGGTGGGGAATTTCAACTCAGACTAATCTAACATGTAAGAAGGCTGCCTCATGGAAGGAGTTCTCATCTCTGGGGATAACCAAGCAGATGCTCACAGGCTGAATGTGGGCAGTGGAGACCATAGCTGCGATTGGAATGCAGGAGCTCCTTTTGCAGGTATAGGCTGGAAAAGTCTCAGTAATCTGTGGATTACTGGGATAAGCCAGAATTAGGGATGGTAGGAAAGCAAGGAGTTGGATCTCCCTGGGTAGAGAAAAGACAACCCTCATAAAGCGGAAGGATGAGCTTAGTTATGAGGAGTCTGTAATTCTGCAACTGCTAACAGTCAAGAGGCCTGGCACTCCTATCTTTATAAGAAGGTTCTTGTTTCCTTCTCTTCACTCGCTTTCCTCAAATCTCCCTTACTAAGCGATCTCAGCCTGCATGTCTGTGCTGCCTCCTCTAGGGCTATTTATTCCCTCCCACCTTGACCAGAACCCTGGTCTTCCTCTGTGTAATCTCTAGAAATGTGGTCTTGCTATATCCTCTTTGCTTTTAAAAGCTTAAAGCACTCTGCTCTATTTCTACTTTAGCTGGTAGATGCAAAATGTGCCTGCATTTGACATGAAAATCCCTTGCTTGTTCTCCTGCAAGCCATAGAAATGTGGTTACCAGCTGTGTGTGTGTGTGTGTGTGTGTGTACATGTGTGCACCCACATGCATGAGGAAGGGGGGTGGTGTGTTGTCTAATGGCCTTCGGAAATCCAATTCCTCTCCTCTCTACCATGTTTCATGCTGGTTTCTACCAGCAACCCAGAGACTTTTCCAGCCCACAGCAGCAGAAGCAGGTCCTGAAATGCTACATGGACTATGGCCTCCAGGGCCTATATTGGGCCTAACTGCTTCTGGCTTCTTGTTTCACTTCCTAAGCAGACTGCTAGTAACTGCACGATAGATAGCATGCTAGTGGTCTCTGATGACCCTCTTTGACAAAACTACACTAACAGGAGGAAAGAGAAGGTGAGAATGGAAACGAGACATGGCTGTTTCTAACAGTTCCCCTGCTGTGGTTTCTTACATGAGTCAAGAAAATATGAAGGATTTGGAGAGGTTCCAGGACCACAGGCTTGAAATTTTCCCTCCCTTTCTAGAATATCAATGGAAGCTATTCAACCACTGAGAAGGTATGGATTGAAAGAAGTTGCTCCTGTCTTTGAGGAAGAACCTTCCCAGAGAAAATCTATCACTGATAGGAACAGGAGGGCTCAGAAGGAGACCTAACTTAGGACTCATAAACCTCACTGAATGAAGACCATTTTATATTCTAGATCTCTCTTCCTTTCCAAATTTACAGGTCTTTACCAGATAAATAGTTTATCAATCTCAACTTCCCTAAGCCAAGATTGAGTTGAAAAATAAATGTCCAAAGCCTACTGTCTTTTTTCAACATCCAGTCTTTGTTTAGGTTTAATGTTGTTGCCAGAAATGCATGCTCATTAGATTAAAAACAGGAATTTGGACAGTATAATAGGAAAAGAAAAACACAAAATTCTCATTACCTTCCTTCACAAATATCCATCTTCAGTTGTAAGAAATACAAGTGCCTAGGAAATAATTATTTTCATTAATTCATATGCAACTGAAATAAGCAAAAATAAAATCATTCTTTTTTTGATGGGTAAAGGATAAAACTTATACATCTGAGAAACAAAATGCTTAAGATTTCATTTTACATATTCTAAATGGTATTAGATTCCATTTTGTCCACAGGACTGCTTCATCCATAATGCCTGCTCATGCTGATACCCCAAGTCTCCACTGACTGGGGAGTTTTCTACCAGTGTCAACTGAGTAGGAAACAGACGAGTGGAAGTAGCCTGCCTATAATCATTGACGCTGCTGGTACTGCTGCCAGTAGGCACTCCTGACCCCAGCCTTTCTGATCAGGCACCAGGACCCACAGAAACGCCACACAAGCAGCCCTCACTCACTGCCAGGACACTGTTCTTAACATTATGCCAGCATTTGCACACCCACGTTCCCTCTGCAGGAAGCTGCTAAGCGGCGGAGGCTCTGGGAAGATTCCTCTCTGGCTGGATTTTTTACCCTGTGTCCCAGGAACTGTGGGTTCAGGAATGAAAGCATGAACATCAGGATACCAGATGATGTCAGGACCTCCCGGATGCACACTGCACTGGTCTGTGAGTGACCCGCAGGTGCAAATTCAAAGCCCTGGGCCTGTTTTGTGAGCCACTCACTACAGGCCCTCGAGTTGTGAGGCTGCACTGTTGCCCTGGGACAGATGGGAAAAAAGGAGGCCATCAATAGCTCTGCCTGGACTAAGAAGTGTCTAGAGACATTTATATTTAGGGACACATGGCTGCTAGGCTCCCACTCTTCTAAAACCCGGATTCAAATGGAATAGACATTCCACAGTCTAGGCAGGAGGACAAAGGGGAAACCTCTTGAAATCTAATACAGACATGGCAAAAGTACACAGGGGGAGAAGAGAGGGCTTTTGGCAATTTAAACAAATCACTGTCATATCTTCTCGGATTGACAAAGGTCAGGGGGCGGCTTTTTGAGACATGAATACTTTAACGGTATTCTAACGTCATAAATGCTGCTCTGGGCATGTACTTGGTGCTTTATAGTTTCTCCTGCTTTAAGTTTCCCAATGTCACTGAGATAGATGTCACCATCTCTTTTTGTTACAGATGAAGAAAGTGATACTCCAGATATATGGGGTCAGCTATGTCTTATTTTAACTAGAGACTTATGAGAAAATCTCAATAAGCTACAGTTTATTAGACATTCAATGACCAAAATATTTAGGATGTATGTCGTAACTCTGATACTAATATTTCAATTACAGTTTTAACAACTACCTGTAATGTACTGAAAGATGATTTTGCATGTCTGTTGATTCACGCTCATTTGGTTTTGGAATCTCTTTTTCATCTAGGAGAACATAATCTGTCCTTTCTAGTTTGTTTCTATGTTTATCCAAGATGGCATTCAACTAGAATTAAGTGTTCTCTCCTGCCACAATACTACTGAGAGAAAGAAGAGAGGAGAGAGTTACAGATAATCCACTGGTAAACCTGGGCTTTCATTGAAGAGCCCCACTAATCAGTATATTTTCCTAGGGATATAAATGAGAACAGAACCCAGAGATTACCATTCACCAAATGCTACCTTGTCATACACTAGGGAAAGTTTCTGCGTCGGCCCCAGGAAATCACATGTAAAGAAGTCAGACATGTGGAACGTAACTTGAATGTAGAATACTATACAGGTATCCTGAAGGAGCTTACATTTAAATTACAGACTGCCAGTAAATAAAATTCTGTTTAGAATGATCTACATTTATCAGAAACAGCAGTTGCAGAGGCTCATAACAAAAAAGGGATAAAGAGAAGTTATTTACAAGACAAACTTGGAATGCCTAACTACAGAAATGAAATGACCCTTGGAGCACACCCTGCTCATGACCTTAACTTCAGAAAAGCAGCAATGAACATCTCTTTGCCTAGATCTTTTAAAATGTAACAAATATTACTTCTCTGACTTTTGGGAACCAAATTTCCTGAAAAAGAAAATTCACTTTTGGACAGGCTGCAAAGTGGGAGCCTAGTAAGACCCCATGTTTCAGGAATACAGGAAAAATGCCTCATGGAAAAAAAAGTCAAGATGTGGCAAAACAAACCGTATCCTGTAATCCCTGAGTGGGTGGCTGAGGCAGAAGGTTTACAAATTCAAGCCCAGCTTGGGCAATTAGCGAGAACTTGTCTCAAAAATAAAAACAAAACAGAGGCAGGAATGTAGACCCTAGGGTTAATGCCTTGTAGTGGAAAGAAGAACCCTGTTCCCCATAAAAAATGTGAATTAATGGTAGACTTCTCCTGTCCCAGCAGAAGAAAAAACTTCTAGCCAACCTCGTTGCCCACCACTCTACGAGAGCTATGCAAGTGGCTGTTTCATGGCTCTAACTGCATTACTCGAAATCTGATGTCCATATCCAAGGAGTCGAAAGCTGTACTCTGCTCCACCCAGGGGGACACTGCACATTTTAACAAGGGAGGCTGGCAGTGGAAACAGGTGCTAGCTCTAGGACAAACAAGTTCAAGGCTACCTTAGACAACTTACAGATCTTAAGATTTTAAAAAAATTTTAAAAGGCTGGGAATAGAGCTCAATGTGAATGCTTGGGTTTAACCCTTACTAATGCAAAAAATGTGCGTGCGTGCGTGTGTGTGTGTGTGTGTGTGTAAAATATACACAAATATAATTTTATGTGGAACTCAGATAATAACAAATATTTGTTTATTATTCATCTGGAAGTAAAAGCTGACTCTGCAGCTCCACCCACTAGCCATAATGTCATGACTCAACACATCTAATTCCTCTTTTTGTATAGTAGCAACTTCATTTTTCCCTGTACTTCCTTAGACGTCCCTCCCTCACAAGACAGGGAGGCTCAGCAGGAAGATACTGCCAGCTCCCGCTGGGCCGGAGTGAGCATTTTTCCTCTGGGGGAAGAAGTAGGGGCACTGGAAGGGGCACTCCTGGCTTGGGTCTGTCCTGGAATCTCCTCCCTTGAGTTCCATCACCAGAGAACACTAACATGCCCGCGACTGCCACAAATCTGCGGCCCTCACTATCACAACAGGGAGACCAGGTGCTGAACAGTTATTAGTTCAGGCAGTGCAGTCCATACGTGGGCCTGGAACCAATTAGCTGGTGGTAAAATCCATTTACAGAGTCACAACTGACATTTTAAAAAAAGGAAATAGAAAACTTAAGTATACTTTGTGCTTACTACAGTTTTATAAAACTTCTGCTTCAGAAAAAAAATATATACACACATACACACACATCTGTGTGTGTGATCCATTATGATGTAAAATACATAAACACGTATTTCATTGTGGGGCTGTAACTTTTTTAAAACCCCCGAACCTCCCTTCCATATATATATATATATGTAAACACATTTGTACACAAGCGTATAATCACGAATCTACACAATGAACACAGACACGTAATTCTCTGGGTGATTTTTTGGGGGTGAGTGTATAAAAATAAGACCAGTCTTGATCCTCCTACTTTATCTTCCCACTCCAGCAGCTGGGACCGCAGCCTGCAGCCTCGCCTAGTTCTTCATGTCATTACAAAGAATCCCTCAAACAGAATTTGCTTCCTAGTACTGGTCTGAGGAATCCTTGGCAGGGTTATTTAAAACATATTCTCATAAATTTCATCACCAACTTTATTCATCAGCTTATGAAATGACCTGCCGGGTCACTTAGAATGTCTATACTGTCCCTGGTCTACCAGGGTTAAGAACTGTGCAGAGAAAAACAGCAGTCTGTACTTCCTCATGGTAACCCAATGAGTCACACGGACTTTGTTTACACTGGCTTAAAATGTAACACAATGGTAAACACAGCCAAATCCCTGATGTCTGAGATGGTGGAGGAAGAGGTTCATAAAGATGGCAAAAGAGAGTGATAAGCTAAATATTTGTCTTTCAAACACACTAACAAGTTAAAGGGAAAACAAGACAGCATTTCATGTCTGAATTAATAGTCTCTCCTTGGTGGTGGGCTTATAGCCACATTGAATGTAGAACAGAATTCAAGAATCCTGAACATCCATTGCTCTTCTGTGGTGCAGCAGGTTCCCTCCCTAAGAACAATAAATGGATGGATAATAAAGAAGAAGAGAAGGTTGCTGGCACAGTCCAGGTTCCAGCTGCAACAGCTCTCCTGCACTGCCTCCCCATTCTAAACACCAGGGTCCCCACCCAGAAATCCCACTTGCTGGGACCTGATGCCAAGCCCTGCGGGGTAAACAGCTCCTATCAGGCCCTCCTCCCCTATCTGGTTGAGTATTTCCTGCACCTGCTGCTTTTCCAGCAGACAAGCTGGGTCCCGCCTGTTCTCTGTCAGAGCTCCTGCAAACTGGGGATGTGATCAGAAGTGCTGCTTGTCCTGTCATCCTCAAGGCCCCTCCAGGCCCACAGGGGTACTGTACTTTGAGACCTGTGGATGGCTTGTTCCACAAATTTGCTTTCTACATCCAGCCTGCGTGACTGGACAGTAATGTGTCACCCTTTGGGCCCACCACTCATCAGACAAGGAGGTAAAGGAAGGAGGCGGGGATGCCAGTGTGCTAGAAACTGCACAAATCTGGAGGTGAGAAAGGCAGGCCCAAGATGAAAAACTAATCCACCAACTAAAATTCCAATATATGCACTTGTGTTTTAACTTGGCTCAGGATAACTGGTGCAGTCATACCCAAATGAAGTAACCTGGCCAGTTATAAAATAAAGAGCACATTTTTAGTTGTTACTTATTTTTATACACTAAGTAGAAAACTTTAAGAAAATGTTATTACCTGGTTTGTTCTTGCTGCAGTGTGCTGGGATCAGGTATAAAAAATCTTACTCGAAAATGCAGGGAACAGGGGTAACCTCCTACAACATTTTTCAAAGACAAATTAAGTTTTCTCTTTAAAAAGTCAATGTATGTTAAAACTCTCTTATAAGTGATACACTTTTCACTCAACCATAGCTTTCCCCGATACAAAAGGACTAATTTCAAATATGGCTTGAGAAATCTTCAAGTCTGCAAAAATGTATTCACACAATATCAGCACAGACTACCTATAATATCTACTTCTTATTACATGTTTAACTTAGGGCTATGTTCACTCCAATTCACTCCTATCTCTGTGGTAGGAATTTTATAAATCCTTAAATCAGCATATTATAACAAGTCCCAAAGAAATAATGACTTACATTAACATAACAACTTATGCTTTTCACACATGTTCATGGACATTGTAGAATTTAAACAACACCTTGCCTATGAGCTGCTATCCCTAACTTTGTTTCACAAAGGAGCCAATAAGCTTAGAGATGTAAGCGACTTGCTTTCGGTCACATAGCTAGTGATAAGACCAGAATGATAGCACTGAGGCTTCTGTTTCTGCTATGAAACATTTCAAAATTATTCTATATTGGAAAATATTTCACATTTTAAATGCAGAGCACATTAAATGATTAACATGTTAGTGAATATTCCACAACGAAAATGTTCAAATATGGCTTTATGTATCAACACCAAGAGTCAATTCATTCCTGTGGATATAATTAGTCTACTTCCTCTAATAGGTATGGCAACAAAAGATCAGACTGTGTTGCTAAGATCCTGTGATCATTTGCATGTCAATGTCACCTGCTCCAGGGCTGCCATATCTACACACCTGTCTCCTCTAGGTGCTTAGTACTCTTACTCCGAATCTAAAGTCCTTCTTGAGCCTACTCCTTCGCGGATCCTGCTGCCTGCCCTCTACTCTGGCTCATTCCAGGGTCCGCCTACCCACAGCTCCCATACTGTCTATTTTCACCCCTGGCTGGTATGCAAAGCATCTCTAATGGTGGGTGTATACCTAGGTGTATCTCTGTACAGTGCCTGGCTCCAGTGGGTGGTGTTGTAACACTGTCTGCAGGCTCATCAGGGGATAGTAGAATCCTTCCATTGCCCTGGAAGTGCTTGCCCTCCCCTTTCTAAAACCTGTCAATTCTGTCTCGGGGAAGGTTTCTGTCTTTCTCACCCACTTCTGGGCACTCAGAGCGTTCTATCATGTGCTTAGCACTGTCATAAAACATTCTCCTCCTGTTCCTCCTGTCTCTTTTTACACTTGGCTGACTGAAGCTGGATTTCCAGAGCTTAGTCCAGTGTCTTACCAGCCTGAGAGTTTAGGAATGTTTATCAGAAGAAAGAGATCAAGAGTGAATGCATAATGACACCTATCCATGCCTCATATGTGGTCATTCTTGTGTCAGCATTCAAACTGGCAGGTGTTTATTTGAAGAGGTTTCGTGCCTCCTGTGGGCAGTCCTGACACTAAGGCCATAACCCAGGAGTGGTAAGAACTCTGCGGACTCTGCTCCAGGTGAGGGCAGCACTGGGAGGAGAATCATGGCTATGTGTGTCTACATCTGCCCACGTGGGAGGTGGGCAAGTGTGAGTGTGTGTGACTCTGGGCATGTATACATGTATGTATGAATCTGCCTGCTTTCACCCCTCTCCCATTCACTGGTCACCTCTTGTGTGTCACAGGCCATGAGGGACGCAGGGAAGAATGTAGCAAAAGTCCTCATCTCAAGGGACCTGCAGCTCTGAGCAGAAGCACATAACTATGTGATGTGGCCAAGAGTGCTCAGTCATGAAGTAGACACTGATAAGTGACAGGAAAAACAGAGTGAATCTCGGCTTCAGTAGGAGAGATGAGTCTGAGCAGCCTTGAAGAATGGCAAGAGTTAGATACAGAGTAACAGGTGGGGAAAGCATTCTCAGCAAAAGGAAAGTACAGAGCAAGCCCTACAGACTGGCCAGGTTTGTTCCCTACAAGGACGGTCATGGTGGAAAGCCAGACTGAGAAGAGATCAAGGCAGAGGGTCGGTGAGGCGTGCCTTGAATGGCCACTTAACTGAGTTAACCAGTGGTCTGGAATCACTCATGATGGATAAGCTCTATTTTAGAAAGATCGGTATTTCATATTTGTGACACTACCTATAGCCTAGTTTCCAGTGAATGCTACTATGATATTACAAGGTAAAGGAAGGGACTGTGTTTCTGTCCCACCTAGGTGCTTACACAGCTGAAAAAGACTTATCTTCTTCTCCTTTCTTCCTTCCTTCCATCTATCCATCTTTCCATCCTTCTAAAAAGAAATCTGGGTTTCCCTGCTCTGAGCTGCCTGCTGTCACTTGGCCCTTCCAACCCACCTGGCAGGGATTCCCGAGGGCTGATCTGGAAACATGTCTGCAGACTCAGAAGAGAGACAGGGACAAATCATCTTGCCCCAGAACCCAGGCAGCAGATGTTACAGGCATCCTAATGATGGAAAGAAACAAGCCGCCAAACACCTAATGTGCGACTGAAATGAAAAGATCACACCAACCTTTCAACTGCTTCCTGATGGGTTTGCTTGATTCAAGCCATCTCTGTTGGGTAAGAAAACATAAGCTGTAAAACCAAGCTGTGCAGGAGTTCAGCACATTTTATAGGTTGGCACTTACAGGGGAGTCTGAGTCTTCACCATGTTGCAAACCAAAATACTCCTTTTCGGTCACACCCACGTGGGCATAAGCCATATCCAGAAGTGACTGGCCAGTGTCTTGTTTCTAGGAAGAAAGAAAAATAATCAAATGGGAATAATTTTTTAAGTGAATTAAAAACTGGTGGTGACAAGTCTTTACTGTAGACAAAAGAAAGATTACATATTCAGATTTTATGCACACATACTTCCCAAAGCAGCATAGGGGCTCATAAATGTCAAGTTTCAAGGTTGCACAATATTGATGGGAAGGAGGGCCAAGACAAACTACGTCAGTGTGATTTTAAGATGACGAGTTTAGACCAATTTAGCTTTCTAAGATTTCTTCCTTCCCTGTAGCTGAGGTTCTCAAGTTATGTCTAAGTCAGAAAATTCACGTGTTATAATTACAGTAAGCTCACCATGGCCTAGCCACGGATTACCCACAGCAAATGCTAATCCCGGGTCAGTTTCTGTTGGCTTCTCAGGATGTGTCTGTGGCACCTGGAGGATCCCAGAAGTAGGTTTAGGAGAGGAAAACTCTCAACTCATAGCTAAAAATACTCAAATGCCACTCAAAATACCCTCAAAGTGATTTGGCCCATGCTGCCATGCAGGATTATCTGCCTAGCTGCTTCCGTTATCTGAAGTGCGAAGCCAGTAGGGACATTCAGCTACCCTTCACTCCAGAGTGGGACTCAGAGGCCCTGACAGCGCAGTGTTTGTTGGGCATGTGTGACATGGGCACTCAGACAGAGCCACAGTAAGTGTCTTTTTCCTGGCCTGGCAGTGCAAGCAACTAACAAATGCTACCCATGGCTTTGAAATCATCAAGGCACAAGACACCCAAGGGGACAACACAACACTCCAGCTCTACTTGGAGACAAAGGGAAGCAACCTTTGATCCAGATTTGGAAGGATGACAGGATTGTAACACCTCCTTTCCAAGTGTACACACATTTGAAGCTAATGGACCAGCACAAACAAAGACCCAGTTGGCGTGAGGGACAAAAACCGCATGGCGCAGTCAGGAAATCACGAATTCTATTTTAACAGGCATAGACTTCTCAGGAGTCCTTTGAACCAAACCATTTAACTTGAGGACAATATGAGTTAGAAATAGACAAGGTATAGAAAGGTGAGATACTTGAAAGCAGGTAATATACTTGAAAATAGGTCAGTGATTAGGACTGGCAGAATTAGGTATCTGTAAGGTCCCTCCAACAGCGACTTCTTTGGGACAGTCCCATGATCTGATCAGCCATGTGGGAATGGGAGACACACATTTTCAGAATGCACTTTCCAGCCTGAGGACTCCTGCACAGATAGCTTCCTTTACCCAGGACTCTACCCATCAAAAGAACTCCATGGGTGTGGAAAGAACAGTTCAGTCCATGTGCTTTAGGTCCTGAGCAGCTCTCCCTTCAAACTGTGAGATATCCTCTCAATGCATCAAGAGCTATCTGCTCCTCTTATTGGAATTAATATTTATATATGAATTTATATTACACTTATTATATACTATTAACAGTTTACAATTTAGTAAACACATACAAGGAGCCAGCTATAATTCCATGTGTACTTTCCTCTATGGTCTCCTGTCTTTGTGGCAATTTTGCAAAACAATCATCACTCTCACTGTCCCCCTCGGCAAGAGCAAATAAGGCATTCTGTGCCTTATCCGGTCAACCAGAGCCGTCTGACCACCTGACTCAGGTCAGTCTGCCCGGGAGCAAAGCCTAAATGTTGCCACTACACTACTTGTCTCACTTCTGAGGCGCTTGATTCAAACATTTGGGTATTAACTCTGCAGAGTTTACTCCACTCTCAAAAGGCACTGAAATATAATCAAAGATACATTTATAATAATGACAAGAGGTCACTGAAGCCATCACAGCTTACTGCCAGTGCCTGGTTGAGTCTGGCCTAGGGTAGGAATGAATGATGCCCAAATGAGCATCCCTGAAGACTCCTGCTCCTGCTCCTGCTCCAAGAGAGTCCAGGCCACACAGAGTGAACGAGATGATGCAAATGGTCCCCCAAGCAGGAAAATAAAAGTGAAGGATACTCCAAGTTGCAACCATGCCCTCAAATCCCCAAGTTAAAGTCAGCTTTGGACCAGGCTGCTAGAAACGGGGTGGTAGTAGTGCGATGAGAACAGTGATGCTCACACCTGAATTGTGGGTGCTCACTGTCAAGGTATGTTTTAAGACTTTGTATGATCACCACTGGGGGCAGGTGTCTGCTTCAACCCTGCTTACTCACATGTGACCAGTGGCTCCTCCTTCTGATGATGTCATTTCCTAGTTTTTTGGTCAGACCTGGTGCTTAGCTTTGTCCTGCTTCCTGCCAAGTCTCCGTCAATATGCTTGCCCCTCATTTTTGCAACCTCTCAATATCAGGTTTTGCCCCCATCTTCTGTCTCCTTACCTCTCAGCTGAACTCATCCAGTTCCACTGCTTGAAACACTATCTCCACCCTAGTGATATCCACATTTGTAACCCCAGCCTGACCCCATCCCCTAAACTGATGTGTGTATCTAATATTGTGTCCGCATTGCTACAGACATGAATAACTGCATCTCAAACTATAGCCACAACAGAACTGGTTATTGCTGTCCCTAGACCTGTCCTTCCCACAATCTCCCAATTCTATAAACCGCAGCTCTACCTTGTCAGGCCAAAATCCTCGCAATCACTTTGAGGCCTCTCATTCTCTCACATCCCAAATTCCAGAGCTCTGCAAATTCTATGGGCTCCACCTTCAAAGCATTTCCAGGTTCACCTCCACACTACTGGCCTGCCACATCCCCAGCATTCCTCCCTGGACAGTTGGCCCTTTTTCTCCCAGGCTGCTGATGACAGAACATCCAGAACAATGCCGAGTCAGATCAGTCAGTTCTCTGTCCAAACCCAACAGAGCTCTCACCGCACACCACACAAAAGACAATGCCCCGGAACAATCCATGAGGGGCTACACAACCCCCTTATCTCCGCTCCTGTTATCTTGTGGACCCTGCCTCCTACTGCATCCCTCCTGCTCCTTCCATTCCAGACACAGTGGCTTCTACACCGCCCTGCAGCCACACTCCATGGGCTCTGGCCTTGGGACCAATGCACCGCTGTTCTTTCTCCCTAAAATGTACTTTCTCCAGACACCTACCCAACTCTTTCATCTTACCAATGATGTTTTCCCAGGTCATACCTAAGAAAGACACCCACTGCCATCTCTTTCCAAGAGGGTGATTGATAAGCTTCAAAAGGGCAAAGGATGTGCTTTGCTTTGTTTTCTAGTATTCTCTGGGCCTGGAACAAAGCCTGACACATACTAGGTTAACTAATAAACACTTGCTGAATGAACACATGAGGCAAATTTTCATATTCTTGTCAGGAAGAAGGTTTAGGGTTGAAGCCAAATAAACCCAACCTAGACAAACACAAATTTTAACAGAGCCAGTCAAGTTACAGCACTTGAAAGTGACATCTGTGACCTTCATGGACCTTTTTAGTTATAAAATTCTATAGAAGACTACTTAAAGAGGAAAGTGGATATAATGGAAAACCAAAGTAGTGGCTTTTCCAGGGAAAATATCCACAATCCTGACAAAAATGCTCAAAACTAGTGCTTCTTCCAAGTGCAGTGTGCACGGGGACGGTGTGCGAAGCAGGTCCAGGTCCCACGCCAACCCGAGAGAGCATCTCAAACACACCAGGAGGACAAGGGATTTGTATTTTTAGTGTGGATTCTAAGAGTTCGGAGGCATTTTAAGAAACGTTCACTAGGGTTGTGCTGTCCAAATGGAAACTCTGAGCTACAAGACTTTAAATTTTAATTCAGATTAAAAGCTCAGTGCTTCAGGCACAGGAGTCAGAATTCAAGTGTTCAACAGCTTCCTAAGACTGGCAGCTCTCACTGTGGATGGTGCAGGTACAGAACATTTCCAGCAACACACACAGTTCATTCACAAAGTCCTCCCTAGAGAGTCTTTTTCTCCAAAACGATGCTGGGGATCAAACACAAGGCCTAGCACACTCAAGACCCTGGGTTCAGCCAGGTGTGGTGGCACACACCTATAATCAGCATCCTCAGAGGCTGAGGCAGAAAGACTACAAATCTGAGCCTCGCCTGGGCAACTTATTAAGACCATGTCATCAAAATAAAAAATCAAAACAAAAGCTGGAGATGCAGGTCAGCGCAAAGCCCCTGGGTTCTATCTCCAGTACCAAGGGGGCAAACTTACAAGTCGGGTAGAAGATGCAGGATCAGTGATTGGTTACACTTTAAATTCTTACAGCATTACTTATTCTTTAATTTGTTCTCTCATCTCTGTCTCCGCTACTACCTTTCCTTGCACACTGGACTTTCCAGGGTGCAGCAGATGCTGGCAGTTGGTTGAGGGTAAGGGGAGAACCCTACTCCCAACCCCACCCCAGCACTGGCAAGGATAGGAGAGACAGACAAAGGCCACAGACTTCAGGAGTGATCTGAGTGGACGACCAGCAGGGGCCATGACTGTCCCAGCATATGATGGCTACTGGCCTGGAGTCTGAGACCACATACACACTCTCGGCTCTTCCAGGAGCTCTAAGTGGGAGAAGCCAGGACCTCCCTGCTATCCTGATCCACCCACTCATACATTTAACAAGCACCTGCTGCGTACTAGCCCTGTGCTGGGAAACCCTCCCTGTCCTCAAGAAGCTCGCAGGGCAATGGCCAACATGTAATCTAATGATTATAGCTATTTTTTTAAACACAACATGACATGGGATCTAATAAAACATATAAAGAGCAACAGCACCCGAGAAGCAGCTCTGCCTCAGGAAGGACACGGGGACACTGCTGAAGCAGCCAACATCGGAGAATCACACAGCTCACATCACCAAGAAGGGGCTGGAAGGCAAGATGTGGGCCAACTCTAATCTCAACATACAAAACCTGGAATCTCAAGCTTTCTCTTGAATGTATTTTTCTCCTCATTTTGTAAAACAAGAGATGAAAATTATTTCTTAAGAGCATTAATTCAAAAAGCATTGTGGAGGAACTTACATTAACTTTAAAGGTCTGTACCAAGCCATCTAAGAAGCGTACGTTGCAGACAACTTCGGATCGAGCTTTCTCTTTGGGTAATTCAGAGGTGCGTATGTTATTAATTCTTCCACCCAGAGCACGTAACCGGGAGGTCATAACTATTGCTGAATAACCTGTAAAGTAAGACACACCTGTTAGTTGATTCATATGCTAATTACCAGCCATCAAGGAAGGGCCTCACAGCCCACCCAATGCCTTTTATACCTATCGCTTTGATTGATTGTGAAACCCTTGGTAATGAGAGCTAAATAATAAACTGTGTTTCCATTTGAGTTTGACTTCCTAGAAGCTCTAAGTAAAATTTACTGCTCAATTATAACATTTCTCGAATTACAGTTTGCTTATTTGTCTGTTGTTACCGCCAAGATCAATACCTTCTAATTTCCAAGATTTAAAACTTTTTATTTAGGTCTTACGATATATCTAGGTGTTTGCATATTCCATCCCTCAAATTTCACACAACTAAGAATGGCACAAACGTGATTTAAAATTTGAAAAGCTCTATCAATTGGATTAGATTAAAATTAATAGCTTCTAGCAGTCAGTGACTTTCCAGAGTGAGCTAGGTCTGCTGTGGCCTAGGCGACTGATCCTGCTGAATTCAAAGCTTAAAAATTTCTGGGTCCCCACGAAGCCATACTATACCCAAGTTTACCAGGAGATTTGGGTAGGAATGGGTTGATGAGCTTCATTGTTTATGGAATCAGAAGTGTGAATCCTGTACCTGCTCATGGCCATCACTAACCAGCTTTCCTGAGTGTGCATGAACTGAAACACCAGGCTGCCTGCACACTTTGACACTGTGTCTGATGGGAACACAGAATGCCACGTCCACTTACGTAGGTAGTGTTTACTCTGCGGCATGAATAAATACATCTGTGAGATGCACCCCCCAAAATAAATAAAATTAATAACTTCTATTTATTAAAAGATAATGTTTACAAAAGCAAAGGGCAGCCTACAGAGGAAAAGGTTTGTGCCATATAAAGATCTACAAAGGTTGTATAAAGTGTTATGACTCAATGAGAAAAAAACAACTCAATAAATGCAAACAGGTACTCAAAGATATTACCTGTCAAAAAATGCAAAGTAAAACCACACTTAGCACTGCACACCATGGGGAGGGCTACGATTTGAGACTGACAATTGAGAGGGTACACACCAAGTGGGGCCCTCATGCAGCACTGACGAAAACAAGCCAGTGCAACTAGTTGGAAAAACCTAAGTAATATCGGCTGAGCAACACTGTGACACAGGAATCCTACTCCTAGGCATGCTTGCCACAGAAAACTGTACATTTACTCACAAAAAGGAATGCACAAGAATGTTCACAACAGCCTTAAACTGGAAAAGACATCAGTGGCCATCATCTGCAGAATGGGTAAACCAGTACTTGCGCAATTATACAGCCAAGAAATGAGCTACTGTAACATAAAACAACATAAGACAATTTCTTTACTGTTACCATGAGCAAAAGAAGCCACACAGGAGATGACCTAGTGCATGATGCTACTTGTACAGTTAAAAAAAAAAAAAAAAAAAAAAACAAGCAAAACTAATTGATGCTGACAGAAGACAGGGATAGTGGTTATTGTTGGTTCTATTGGAGTAGGAAGCAGGGCACAGAGTTCTTCTGGGATGCTTTTAACAACTCGTATCTTAGTGTGGGTGCTAATGACACTTCTGTACTTATTCTGTGAAAATTCAGGGACTATATTCATGATTTGTGCATTTTTTACATGTAAGTTTGCTATGTATTGGATATGGTTTGTCTCCTCCAAAGCCCACTGTGACTGAGGTCTTGGACCCAGGGTGGTACCGTGGGAAGTTGTAGAAAACTCTGAGAGGCTGGGCCTAACAGCAGGTCCTTGGGTCATTGGAAGCTTGAAGTTTTTAATCCCCTGATCCCCTTAGTAGTTCATCCGGAAGGCTATTACAAAAAGAACCAGCCCCAGCCTGCCCCAGCTCTTCCCTCTGCTGCTAGCACTTTGTGATCTAATCACTGCTTCCTCCTGTGTGTGCTCCCACATTGCCATCTACCACGCTGCGATGTGCTGAGAACCGAGCCAGCCTCCAAAACTAAATGAATTTCTTTTCTTCATAAGCTGTATGTCAGGCATTTCCTGTCAGTGATGAAAAGCTAATACAGTGCTATAGTTCAGTAACAAGCTTACTATAAAAAATAAGCAAAGACCCTTACATTTACACAGAAGGAATTAGTAGGCAGTTTAAAAACTGACTGGTATTTGGAATCAGTAAGGAAATGAGTTTGATGATGAGCCCAATTGTGGAGTGGCAGACTCAAAGACTGGAAAAGTATGCAAACTGAGTACTTAGCCATGCCACAAAGGTGGGAGGGCCAAGGTCTAGACCACTGCAAAAAAATATATAAAAGCATCCCGACCAGTGTACAGAATGGAGAAGATGTAAATATAGCAAGACAGGGTGAAGAGCAAATGTAGATGAAGGCCTCCAGAGCAAATTAATTCTCCATAACCGTTTTCTGATGAGTTGCCCTTTGCATATGCAATTCCTTCTGCTTGTAATGTGTTCTGCTTCATCTAATTCCTATGCATCTGCTTGGCACAAGCATCACTTCTCCTAGAAGCCTTGCGGGGGAGCCCGGCAGTCACATACTAGTGTTACAAATTCTCTCTATGGCGCTCTTCATTTCACTTAGCACTTGATTTAACGGCCACTTCTCCCACTGGACATCAGGCTCCATGAGGGCAGGAATTGGGTCAGGTTTTGTGCACTGTATCTCTAACACTTATTTCTGACTGGCTGTCAGTAAACATTTGAATGAACCAACAAACGAAAGGAACAGTGACACAGAAAATGAAGCCACATAGTCTAGAGAAACAGCAGTACAATCTGACACACAAACTCAGCTTGGTGGGAACAGGCAGGAGAGAAGGCTAGGATGAGAGGCCACGGGGAGTCCGCTCTAGCTGCAGTGTGCACAGTGCTTGGGGTCATATTAAAATGCAGACCGTGGATGATTCTAGTAGGGATGATGGGGCCTGAGCTCCTGTAGCTCTGTCTTTTAGAGGATGCTCCAACTATTGATCCAGGGTTTGTCCTGAGACAACCAATTCCAGACAACTGGAAAAGCAACACCCAATGTCAGGACAGGCTCAGAGAAGTTTTGTGAGCCATCAGCGAACAGGGATGACTCAAAGCTGGAAAAGACGAAGACACACTGAAGGAGCTGTAGACACATCTCCATTCTCCTGCAGACAGGGATAGGAACTCTCAAATATTAATAAAGAAAATTCCTAAGACCAGCAGTGAAAAAACCCCCAATAATTTATACAATTCCACCCACCCTACCACCTCCACCTTGCCCTTTTCAATGAAAATGTCATCAGGAAGCAGGGATGCATTTTCTGAGTAATACAAAAAGTTATCAAAAGACAACAAATGTGTTCCATAATGCTTTAACCCACATTGAATTTTAAATGTCAACTTTATTGCTTAGTTCTTGTCTAAGAATCTCAGGTGGCTAAAATTTTTTTCAAAAGACACAATAGAATCATCACAGGTGTGGTTTCAGTGGGAGGCACACCCCAGGATCCCCAGGGAACTCCTAAACCTGATGCCTGCAGCAGCCTACCCCATATGATGCTTCAGCACCCTGCGAGGTGGCACAGGATGGCATTCATTTTGGAAGGGCCTCCAAGATAGGTCTCTCGCCTGGCAGTCAAGGCCTGGAGGAATGAATGGGCTTTCAGGGAGCTCTGGGTGTGTTTTGGATGATGGAACTTAAAATCGGGGGCTCACCAGAATATATGCCACTCACTGTGGGCATATATGAAAGAGCTGGGTAGTTGTTCTACAGAACAGCAGAAACAGATAATCACACAGTGACCTTGGACAGAAAACAACGCTGATTTCAAATAGGAGCCTGTGATGAAAGTCACATGGACTGATGCGCCAACTATGGGCACAGATCTATCTGCACACTGCTCTGCACCTGAGCAGCCCTCACACCTACGCAGTAGGGGGACCCTGGAGCCTGTGAATTAATCATAGTTAGCAATGCTGCCCTGCATGGTCACACAGCCAGCTGACCATTAGGCCGGTAACCAGAAAGATAGGGTTGCCCTTCCTTACACCCATCCCTGATTGTCACTTAAAGGGCTTCAGATTGAAGGATCCTAAAGAGAATGGTATAAAATAGTATTTTATGAAAGTCACACAGAAATGGTCTTTCTACATTTGTTCCTAAAGCAAATCTTGCTGAGAGTGGGGCTGACACTGGATAACTACATAATTGAGCCACACAGTGTTTTCAGAATGTCTTGAAATTGTATCTTAAACAAATTGCTTGGGACAATGGATGCTGACTAATTGCCCTGTTTCCTGTACCACAGCAATTGGGGAACTCTGGGTTTCTATGGCTTCCTTTATAAGCCTCTTAGTTCTAAACAAAGCCACAACCCAAACAGGAACACACTGGCCTCTCTGACCACAAATGATCACAGCTGCAGCTGATGCCATCTACAACATGGAAGCTAAGCCGTTTCTCTGCATAATTAAACAATTGTAAACAGTTACAGCTATATAGTATTTTGCACAATAGCAAAAGAGGTTATACTAGGGATAATCTTGAATCAAAGATTATACTTGGGAAATACAGAAAGGAGTAACATCTCATACAGGAGTGCCATAAATACTGGCAGAGCTACAAATTGCCCATGCGAAGTGCCTACAAAATGTAGGACACATTTTATTTACATTAAGCTTCTGATGCTAGCAGGTGCTGACTAGAGAGTCCAGATTTTGTAGGGGAAGCCTGGTTTTAAACACCTTACACATAGTATACAAATGCTTTGTTTCTTAAAAATTGTATCCATTTAAATAGACAGCTTGGTAGTGTTAAAAAGCAGCTGTTACAGACACATAATACACATTTGAATTTCTCTTCAGACTCAGGAGTCAGGAGTAAAAGAAGTCACACAGACCGCCATTCACCAATGCCTTAGTGGCCAGAGTTGGGGTCTTGAACTCAGGACCTCGCACTTTCCAGGCAGGTGCTATGCTGCTGAGCTATACCCCTGGCCCCTAGGTTCTCCATTACAATTCCTTATGACTGAGGAGGGAGCCCTGC